CCACTGACCAATTTTTAACCATATCATTTTCCATTGTCAGTTGGAATTTAATTTGATTAATTAGGGAAATTTTCTGAAAAGGATCGGCAGATTTCCACTGTCTAGCTATAATAATTTTAGCTGCAATAAGGCAGTGGATAGCTAAACAAATATGTTTACTTGATTTAAAAGGCCAGTTCAGGTGTAGGAGGGCCGAAGCTGGATTTTTATTTATATCTTTAAATGATACCTCATTCAAAGATATTTCGGAGAAGATATTATAGGCCCAGGCCCATAGTGGTTTTACTACTGGGCAAAACCACCATGTGTGGATATATGTACCCGAATAGGTACCGCATCTCCAGCAAGTAGGGTCTTGAGAAGTAAACAATTTAGCCAGTCTTGTCGGAGTGTAGTACCATCTGTGAAGTAACTTAAAGTGGCACTCAGTCAAGTTTAGACCATGGACAGATTTATTTACTAGAATTATAGAGGAAGACCATTCCTTTGGGGCTTTGGGGAAATCACTAAGTTAAGTTCATTTTTCCATATTTTAACCAATTTATAGGGAAAGGTATCTAAGCCTTTAAAAAGCAAATTAGCTAGCGAAATAACCTTGGGTACAGTTTGAAATGAAAATAGAGTTTGCAACTCTTTAGCCCGAGGAAAAAAAGATTGGATAACATGTTTCTGAATATAGTGTTTGATACGAAAGTATGTAAATAATTCTTTAGATGGTATATGGAGATTATCCACAATCTGTTGAAATGGTAGGATATTATCGCCCTGCATAATGTCCGATAAAGTTAATGTGTCTTTGTTAGGCCAGTGTCTCAATGATAAATCCTCTACATTATTTTCTAATATATTTAATTTACATGTTCTAGGAATTAAGTAACTTAAGCCCAAAATTTTCCTAATTTTGGCCCATGTTTCCAAAGAGTGAGCCAACAATATTAAACAATTAGGCAAATCCCTTAAGAGCTTCCCAGGATCTGACCATATATAAGAATAGAGAGTAGATGCATGTAGAGCTTCAGACTCCAGATTATACCAAGGTTCAGAAAAAAAAAGTGGTTCTTGTAGAATATATATATGTCGTATAGTATTGGCATAGTAAAGATTAATAATACTTGGAAAGTTTAGCCCTCCCTGGGACAATTTTTTAGAAATATATTTTTGACTTATTCTAGGCTTTTTATTTTTCCAGATAAATTTATTAATGGCAGATTGTATCATTAGTAGCCACACCTTAGGGATTTTAAGAGGAACCATTGAGAACAAATACGACCATTTTGGTAAAATATAAGAATTTATAATATTAATTCTGCCTGTCCATAATGTTTCTAAGTTTTTCCATTTTTTTAAGTTTTGATTCATATCCTTCATTAACTGCATAACATTACTCTCCATTATATGGGAGGCGTTAGCAGGGAAACTAAGACCCAAATAATTAATTTCTAAATCAGTCCAAATAAACTGATATTTTTGAGATAGCCTTTCAACCTGAGTCAAAGATAAATTGATAGTTAAAGCAGTAGATTTTGAAACATTTAGCTTGAAGTTAGAGATATTAGAAAAATTAACAATTTTAGATTGTACAAATCTTGATAGAACTGGTTAAACTTTTGTCCAATCTCCGATGGAGTGGAGTATACAATTTGATCAACTACCAATTTTTCTACTCTATTTTTAGCATATTGATTACGAAGCCTCCTGGTTAGACTTTTACTCGCTCTGTTGCCCGAAATATAGTGATTTAATTTTAGTTTATTTATATTTAACTTGATTTTTTCCTCTTCTTTTAGATTAATTTGGAATTGTAGGTCTTTTAAATGAGTTCTCAGCTCAGGGGAAGATTGTATTTTATTCATTTTAGAACATGAATAGAATTCAATATATAAATCAGGCAATTTTGTGCCATTATTTTTCTTAAGGAGGTGGTCTATTTTAATTATATAGCCCCTCATTATGGATTTATGAGAACACCAATTTATTAAAGGAGAAGTGTCTCACGGATTATTTTCTGCCCAAAAATATTCTAATAATTTGGTCAAATCCTCCCTATTCTTAGAGTCCTTTAAAATGGCATCATTCAATCTCCAAGTATTACGAAGGAGAGGAGGAGAGTTACCAAGATCAAATAAAACAAAGCTATGGTCTGACCATGTGTTTTCCTTAAGATCAATGTGATTAAAGAGCGGAATTGTAATGGCATTTGTTAAACAAAAGTCAATCCGGGAGTAAGTACCATAGACACCAGATAAGTGGGAAAAATCTTTTTTAAGGGGGTGAAGTAATCTCCAGATATCATATAAATTATATTGCCTACAAATATTATTTAATTTTTTGGCTTGCTTAGTAGGTCCTGTATTATTAAGCGAGGTAGATACAGTAGTTCTATCCAGGAATGGATCACTAACACAGTTAAAATCACCAGCGATAATCAAATATCCCTTATTAATTTTATCAACTTTATCCATTATCAGAGAAAATTTAGTCATTGGATCAACATTGGGTAAGTACACATTGACCAATGTAAAGATTTTATCTTCGATCTTACATACCAAAATAATAAACCTCGCTTCTGGATCGAGTTCAGTATGTAGAATGTCTACATTAATATCTTTTTTGAATATAATTGCCACACCCCTTTTTTATTTTTAATTAATGAGCACAGCTGTAAAAAAACCAAATGACGTTATCTTGCTGATTTTGAAGTCCTATGCGTGTGTTCTGCACTTTGGCTGAGATCATCAAACTTGATGATCACAGCCACTCAGGCTGTTGTGCATGTGTGGCAAAACGCTCTGCATCCAATCAGCATCTCCATGGGGAGTGTTCAGTGCCTCCATGCAGACCCAATCCAATACACCCTCGCCTCCCCCCACTCTAAAACATTGCCACCAAATCCAAATACACTACCCCCTTCCCATCACTCTAATACACTGCCCCCTTCCCTCCATCTCCCAAATTAATACACTGCCTCCCACTCTCATACACTTCCCTCTCTCTCCCCCAAATTAATACACTGCCCCTCCACCACAATTTAATACACTGGCATCCTCATTCCCCCCAATTTAATACACTGGCCCCCTCCTTCCCCCAAATCAATACACTGCCCCCCCAAGGTAATACAGTGCTCCCTCCCCCAAATTAATACACTGCCCCCCTCCTTCCACCAAAGTAATACTGTCCCCCTCCTCCCTAAAATGTATACACTGCCCCCTCCCCAATTTAACACACTACACAGGAAAATCCCCCAAGCCGATCTTCTCATATCTTAAGATGAGCCACCCGTCCTCCAGTTCCAGCTCTTCTCTGTTCAAGCAGGCCAGAGGGTCCTTTGGCTCTGCGAGAAGGAGGGAAGGTGGAGTGGCTGGCCTACTCTGCAGACAGACAGGCACTCTGCCCTCTTGTGGCCGCCGGAGGAAAGACAAGGATCAGACAGAGCCACAGCACAAAGTTTTTGTCTTGAGTTAGTAGGAGCTAGAGAAGGACATATCTGGCCATCTAAGGTGTCAGCTTCCCCCCTCCCACACCACCATGATTATTTAGATGCTATGATGCACACTCCAGCACCTAGAGAAAAACACAGCATGGCAACTGTGGAGGTAAATTAATTTCCATGTGCCAAGGCATCCAGGAGTGCAACATAAAAAAGAAAAAATGAAAAGGTGAAACAATAACGAAGTTGTGTACTTTAAAGGAACTCTCCAAACACCATAACCACTAAAGCACACTGTCGTAAGTATGGCGACAGGAGTGCCTTACATGTGTATACAAGCAGTCTTGCATCTCTCCGTACTTGCTCATATTATTATGCATAGGTGCCCTGTGCAACACATCAGTCATTTTCTGTAAAAATGGGTCATTTCACAATTTTCTTTCCTCATAGAAAGTTGTAGATTTCAAACACTGGCCCACACATAGTTACATGGGCTGAAAAGAGACGTGTTCATTGAGTTCAGCCTTCCTCACATTTGTTTTTTGCTGTTGATCCAAAAGGCTCTCACATTTCAAGGCTTAATTAGAAAATGGTAAACCCAATCTTTGCTCCCTCAACTCACGTTACCAGCAAGAGGGGATTTTTGAGTAAATTGACATCTTCACGCTATTTACCAGGTCTTTGCCAGTTAAGATATTAGTGGAATATTTTCAAGGTCAGAATAATTAATGACCAAGCCATGAAGAGTATCACGGCAGAACGAGCTGTACAGGAAACATTAAATATTAAAACATTCTACATGAAGCTGCAGTGCATTAAAAGTAAAGATTTTAAAAATACAACAGATTCTCTTCTCTACTCAATGGAATTCATTTCTTGTATATATTTTTTTATTTATATTGCAGTTTGTTTTCCAGGAGGTATGTATTGAGATTTATTTCCTTTTAACCCCTTAAGGACACATGACGGAAATATTCCGTCATGATTCCCTCATGTTCCAGAAGTTGTGCCCTTAAGGGGTTAAATATGTCATGAAACGTCAATTTGGGGGAATCTGCATTCCTTTGAAAGCATCTGGACCATCAACTCCTGGGAAGTAAGCAACAGATTGATATAGTGAAGTATCCTCATTCCCTGGGACTTTGAAGCTTGTTATTCACCCACTCCTGTAATTGGAGGGGTTAAATATAATATTACCATTACAGCACACATTTGTTAGACATTCTTTTTATGTTGTAAAGATAAAAAAAAAAATGGATAAGAGGAATTTTTAGTGTGTGAATAACCTTCTTTGCGAAACAATCATTGTGAGCTTTCTACTGGATCTTTTTCAATCTTTCGGTTCTCTATGGATAACCACAGTACAGTCAACTTCCTTAAACACTACAGAATCGTAACAGGCTTCCATCCTACTTGAATTCCTCTCATCTCTTAATACTCTCTAGTTCTGACCACATTAGTGCAATAACACATGTTGCAATAGTTTTGTAAATTCACTCATACTCCACGAACATTGCAAAATTCTCTTTTTTTCTGCAAGCTTAAGGACCCTACTTTTACTCATCCTAGAACTTATTGTTCCAACAATCGCTGTGCCCTACTTAGCAGTTCAGCTGTGCCCTATTTAGCAGAAGCAGGGCTGAGGGTATGAAGACGTAACAAAGGAAACCTGTTTTGGTGGGACTGTCAACAAGAGCATCCCATACAAAGCAACTATGGAGAAGAAAGGTATGTATTTAGAGGAGAGGCACATATGTCTGCTCACCTTAAGATGTGGGGCTGTTTGTCCATGATGTTCTATCCATGTGGTGGTCTGCCTTTATTGGTGCTGCAATAGCGTATCCTCTCAAAGAAGCTCCTGTCACATAATGATACACCAGGTGTGAATTAACTTTGAAATTAACGTTGAAATGTCCATGAATTCTAACTTTGGTGAATAACCCTGCCTAAAAGATCTTCCTATGCTTCGCTAATCCTTACATGCTTTAAAGAATGTCTTTTTTCTCTCTCAAAAAGCGCAGATTTCAATAGGGATTAACACTTTTATAAATTAACCTGGTTACACCCCCAGGCTGTGCATCATATAGCTGGTTCTGTGACTTCCTGGTTTGTTCAGCACAGTGGAGCTTATCTCAATAGAAAATTGTTCAGAGCACCTGTTTTGCAAACACTTCTCATTAAACTGCATTGGGAAGTCTGTGATTGGAGAGCTATAAAAAGTCTAGGCAGTGTTAGAAGTGGAGGGCTTGCAAACGCTTTAGACAAGATATTTGCAGTTTTTGCCACTTGTATTCTAGATATAATTACAATGAAAAAAATACAAAGTTAAATGCATGCAAGCTATCATTGAGGGTATATATCCTATATTTAAAAAAATGAAAAGAAATAAACATTTTACAATTGGAGTGTTCCTTTATCCTGATTATCCAACTTTTCACAAGACTTTTAAATGTTTTCCTATTCTGAAATACTTTAGAATAAAGCCTACTGCTAGCCGTCATGCATTCACCTGAGTGCACAGCTGCAGGTCTCTAGTGTGTAATTTTCATAGACCATGTAAGAACTTCTGTATTTCTTCTTTTAACTTTCCATTTGGCCCACATCCTTGATGACAACAAAAGTGGTCATGAGCTTTTCATCTGGTTCTTGAATAGACTTTGATTAAACCTATAACCATAGTGTCATACAGTTTGCTGTAAGCATTGAGCTCCCCTATGTATCATGATATGGGGTATTTATAAACAAAGCACCAAGTTCTAAATGTAGAACACTCAGCGCAAACATTCCATTTGTTTCTATGGTGATTTGTCCATTTTTAGAACCTCGACCCATAATTGTCCATATATATAAAACGGAGTTGTGCAATTAAGTGTTGCCATAAACTGGTTGCTACAGAGGTCTGCCGTTGTGTCATTAAGTAAATAAGATTGGAATAAAAAAAGCAAGCATTTCAAATTAGTATGTAAATTATATATAAAAAAATAATTGTAAAGATAGACTACGCTGCACAAAGTCAATGATTGTATTAAATATTGATTCAACCTGCAGAGACTATGTGCAATGCACGTTTTTTTATTTTCATAAATTTATAGAAGTCCATGAATGATCTGGACAGTGGGATGAATTGCATTCCTTCTGGTACTTTTTCATTTTTACATTTCGTTTGAGTTCAATATGGTCAACGTTTGGGGCAAAGCACACTTCAGTCTTGTTATTTAATAAAGCAGTGGCATAACTAAAAACACATGTGACCTGTCACACTACAATGCTCAGTGAGATACTTTGTTCTTCTCAGTATTGTTGCACATTTGCTCTCCACCTGTTTCTAAGTGTCTAAGTTTTTGTAGTGCAAAGTGCTACAGATGCATTTTTAGAATTGTGCTAGAACAACTCTTTTCTCAACAACCCACAGAATATTGAGCAACAATGAAGCAATTAATAGTTAACATCCATAGCACAAAAAAACCCCTTCTAATATATTTCAAGCACCAATTAGATAAAATGGTCTCTTATTAGGTTTGCATTTGATAGATCCCAGCATATTCTTTCTAAATAGAAATAAAAAACATTTTGTTAATTAGTAATTGTCTAAAAATCACAAACTATTAAGATCTTATTATGCAATTCTAACACTTTAAATGTATTTCTTGTAATCTCTTTCATATACATTTGGTCATTATGTATAAAGCTCTTTTCTGGGGTAAATTTCTAAAACGAGAGACATGGCAGATGCATTCCTTTAGATTTTACGGTGATTGCTCTACTTTGTGCCAAAAATATATTTTTTCGTAATTTTCCACGGTTTTATACAGCAACAACCAATCCAGTCTGGGTGCATCTGTTGTATTGATATTGTTTTTAATTTCATTTATTTATTGGTAGTTATTATTTATGTGAAAATATGTGGTTTATTGCTCTGGTTCTATTTTTATCCATCCGCCCATCCATCCATCCATCCAAGTCATCTCTTCTAACCCTTCTGGTTAATTTATAAAGGGAATAAAATTCTTTCTTTCTTGGGCATACAGCATATCGAGGATGTTGTGTGGATCACTTAGCAACTTTCCCACGTCCCTTGTAGTGTGACAAAAGGCTTTCCTCCCCCCTCCCATCTCCTCCTGCCATGCACCAGTATTCTAAGGCTGATCTTTCAGACAGATGCTAAGAGCAACACACCCCTCCCTGAGCCAGCATTGTCTGAAAGGGTGTACACCCAAGTGGATCTCTGTTAACCAATCCAGTGCAGGCCCAGACACAACTATCAGCTGCTATTGGACAGGAGGAAAGGATATTGAGCCATCTATCACAGTGTGAGCACAGCCAAAGCTCATGCATTCACAGACTTCCCTTTTATTGATGAGAAAAGGGGGGAGATTCTATTGAATGTACACTGGAGGAGACGAGCACCCTAGAAGGATTCACTGACACACACAGAGACCCTTCACCAAACCGATAAGGCAGGGGGACAGGGTGAGTATATTATGCATTGTGCATACACCAAATCATGAGACTTCCTTTTTTGGTTGCATCGTTGTTTCTCGTTGTTGATTATTTTTGTCTTTTTCCTATGCATCCAGTGTCTCTGAAAATGGGCAAGATGTCTAAATAAAGACAAAACTATCACAGCAGGCATTTCCTGCGCAGGTTAAAGGTTGGACAATTTAACCTTTTTTGCAATGTATATTCTTGCCTCTTTGGTAACCACAGAGTTAAATACAATTTCCTGGCATGCACTATCGTATATTTTTGCACAAAAAAATGTCAGTTTAACTTCCAAGAGGTTTTACTGGCAGAAGAACTGCTATTTGATTTTCAAATTCATAACTAAATATGTTCTGCATACCAATTGCAGATGAGGCTCGCATGTACGCACAAGTGGTATCACTTGAAGGAACCCCTCCTGAATTCAGGCTCTCTATTCTGGAGTCTACATATCCAGAAAGAGTTTATTAAATTAAATATATATGATATTATAATGCAGGATAGAGTAAGTCTTGCATCTTAGGGATAAGGACAAGGAGTAATAAAATAATAGGAATAACAATGCTCAAACAACTTCCAAACACTTAAAGTATTTTTAAAAGAAAGTAAAAGGATACAGCAAGAGGTCTGATCGTAAATTAAAAATTTTTAGTCCAAACTAAGAAATATATTTTTTTTTGCGGAAAAGGTGGTAGGTGCAAGGTATGTACTTACAGAGGAAGAGTAAAGGACCCGTGTCTTATGTACATCCAACAATAACTAGTTTAGACATGTTTTCATTTGGACACTAAACCAATATTTCGATTATGGGGAAATTAAATGGAACAGTTGACTTCTCAGTGTATATGTGTACGTATAAATGTATGGATTTCGATGTATGTATTGGTGTGTGCTTACATGTTGACCACACAAAGCAAAGCAATGGGTATTTGTACAAAAAGTTTGCAAGAGATTTATCAGTGTCATAATTTGAAGAGTGGTGCAGACTGTAACAATAGCATATTCACCAGTGAAATGCACCTAATGACTTCCATGCTGATTGACCCACCGTTACAAATTGGAGACACTTTTCAGATCACTTAACTTAATCCCTATTTATATATAAGATCCTGTAACAAAGTTAAATTGAGAATTATTATTGCTAAAACAAAAGTTCCAACCACAGCTGCCATGAAATACTGATGTGTAGACACATGCACCATCATGGAAATGTAATTGTGTTCTTCGGTTAGAATCTGGTCCATTGGTCCAGCAGGTGCAATGCATTGGTGCAATGATTGACATGTGCTGTAAACTGTTTTGTGTAAGTAGGATCCTGCAAGTTGAATGCAGTACTAAGTGGATCTTGTAATGTCCTAGAAATAGCATACTCTGTATTGTATTACATTACTTCTCTTGGCCTGCATCTTTTGCCCTGTCTATTTTATTGCTGCCCTCCCCCCAAATTAGACAACATTCTATACAGCATAACATCTCTCTATATATTTTTGATCATTGATGTTGGCACAACAATAATACAAATCTGGAACCCTTAATGTCAAATTCCCTCCTTGGATCTGAGGATATAATTCTGAGTAGGAAATCTCCATAGAAGCAATATAAACTCTCGACCCTTGGACACCCTATCCATGAAAGCACAGCAATCTAACGAAGTTGGATTACCTTCAGAGGCAAATTCTTTATTTCTATGAAATTGTATAGGTTTTACAGTGGAAAAGTGTGTTTTTTCTCTCTATATATTTTTTTTACTGATTTTATTTTTTTGTTGCCAGTGTCAGCACACGATGAAATCAGAAGTAATCATATATTTAGGATGGATGTCATTCTTTCCTGACATCACATCAGTGTGTAACCAGCATTTGTGACCATTGTTATCACAAGTTGTCTTATTTTTTGTATACCTTACAAGCTCATTGCAACCCAGTCCACTAAAAGTATCCCAGCTTGCAAATGTGATTAGCCTAAACTTTGCATTTAGATTCCAATTTGCTACAATTCAGAGTTTAGTGGATAAGCCATGTGTTACACAGTCATTTAGAACATTTAACAAATTGTAATTTTTTCTTACTTTATTCAATGGGTCACACACCTGCCTGCCTTGGGTACTTATCCACCATAGATTCAGTTTTATATGAATGGATGAAAACTGAAAATTATAATGTGGATATTTTTAAGTTACTTTCCTTTATGTAGTATTTAATGAAGGTTTATTGGCATTATATTAAAGTATTTCTTATACATGTAGACTTCTATCCATCAGCATTTAAAATATGCCACCCCCACTTGAATTGTCAAAAGCTTCCCCATCAGCAGACGAGAGAGGAAGTGACTACTGGAAGGAAGTGACTCTCGTGCCGCACGCCTCATTGACAGGCCAGATCTAGTGCAGCGTGTCGACAAACAGGAAACTACAGAAAATATTCTTTAAATACACTTTATACTTTGGTGCCTCCCCTCCCAAGCAGAGGTGGAAGACTAACAAACGGAAATTCTGTAGCACACTGTGAATTCTCATTCATTGTATATGGAATATTGATTTCTGGGACTTCAATTCTAATGGATGAATGGATGTGCTAATAATGGCAATACGTGAAGTTAATTAATCAAAATATTCCAAAAAAAAAAAACTGTCTATAACCAGAAATTATCAGCAATCTCTCAGACTCCTTTAGTTAAACAGCTTAGTGATCTTGATCTAAAGCCTGATACTTTAGATTTTCCAGCCAATGACATGGGACTTTTAATATAGTTTAGATTTCTGATATTGAAAGAGTTTGTTGCTGCTTGTTTCTGTCTAGCTGGGTGGCTTGACTTTCCTCTCTGTTTTGAGTAGTGAGAATTGTTTTCTATATTATATATATTCTCCTATATGTTAAACATTTAGACTGCCATGTAGGCCTCCATTTATGAGTGGACATACTCCATGAGTATCAAGCATCAATATCACTATGCATCATGAATTGGTTTCTGTTACTCTCTACAGTGCACCAAACCATTCATCGAGCTTAAAATCGCAGAGAATTGCAAATTTTACATCAAATAGTTGTATTTGGAAAATACATTTTTTTTACAGCTGTTTAGACCTAAAAATTGCAGTTATCTGGTCAATTCTCTACACTTTTCAGGTTAATGAATAAACCGCTTTAGGTCTACATGAGAATGAGTAAAATAATGAGGCCTCTGACCTGATCGTGTTTCTTTTTTCAGGTTAGCCCTCCAACAGACATAGGGATGAGCACATGGAGAATTCACCGGAGACCTCATTAGTCCCTTGCGGAAAGGACAAGTATATTTCTAAGTGAGTTTTCCTATTTGTGTCTTCCTGCTCCCTACAATAACCTTGACAATTCATGCCATCTTTCTGATCCATTAAGAACCTCTACATGTACGAGGTCAACCACATAATAAAATACTTTCTCAAACATACAGCAAATATGACAACCCCTACACATTATAATAATTTTCTTTTTCATTTCGAATTTAAATAACAACCATGTATACTCTTTTCATTCCAATCTTAAAAAACTCAGAAATACCTTGATAAAATGCAGTCTCTATTAGCAAGGGTCAGATGTGGCCCAGCTACCTTAGAATACCATTGGATACCAATGTATCACACCATTATTTTAACAACCTCCAGTCAGTGTTAATGAATAGTATATTATATATGATTATGATGCCCAAATCAGAGTGTTTATTGTATAACGGAACAGCTTGTAAAAGCATGGTCTTTCTCCACAGACCTTAACCCCTTCACTGCCAGGCTCTTTCTGATTTAAAAAGTAATAGCAAAACATTTATTTGAAGCCAGGGATACCTACACAGATATCGTAACACAGATTTTGTGCATAGATTGCTTTGCAGGCAAGCTTAAAACGTAAAAATATGTAAATTTACACAACTTTTATTTTACACTTATTTGTTCAATTTTTATAAACAAATATTTGGGAAATGAAAAGCTGTAGACAGTATACAGTGCCCTTTGTCTTGCAATAGTTCACACATGGTCTGAAATGTTAGCATTAAAGCAAAAATGCATAGTTTTTTCTCACGTACAGTAGATGTGAATATACTATATACACAAAAATGGTCAAAAACCTTGCTTATAGTTATTGTTAAGTATTCTGAAGACATTACTTGCAGTGTAGCTTACTACAAACTGCAACAGAATGTAAAAATAATGTATGAATTTGAGCATAATGCCTACATACAGTAAATACAGTTAAATCATATATTTCTAAAATAAAGGTAATTGACGATGATATAGCAATCTTTATTAAGCTCTGAAATGTTAATGTAATGCTGACAGTGAAATGACAGCGTTCACTCACTGCTTAGCCCTCCCTGATTGTAGGAATGATATGACATAGGGAAACATCCTGTACTATTTGGAAGCGGGGGCAGGCAGGGAGCTTACATTTTCAGTGAATTTATATTGATCTATAACTAGTGGCTTCTGGCAGAGAAATGCATTCTTCTACAGGCTGGTAATCATAACTAGAGGATAAAATAGGGTAAGTGAGTTTTTACGGACTAGATTTCATACTGCAAAATACATGAAAATTAAAACATTCATACTCAAAATGTACAGGGTAAAACAGATTTATAGGAATACATTCTGCTGTTTGCACAATTTGCAGCAACATAAGGCCTTGGCCATTGTAGCTACCCAACAAACAGTCATATTAGTGAAAGGAGGACTTTAACAGAATTAAAGTATAAAACAGCCAAGACATGTTTTCTTTAAAATAGTTACTGTTAAAAATGAAACCAAACATTGATGCATTTTAAATGGTTTTGGTCAGCCTTCATTTATCTTATATGATTAAAAAAATATTATAGTAACAGTACAAAAACAGAGCAGGTAGCAAGAAACATTGGTGGATACGTGGTAAAATCAATTAATTGGATTGAAATTGTTTGTGATAATGTTAATTCCAGCTATTTGAGAGACATTCAGCTGAAGTTACATCAGTTATCAGTATAAACTGTGAACAATACCAATTTTTACTCTGTTACAACCATGTTCACATTAACCCTGTTGACGAATTTGCAGATGGTGTTAGTTAAGAGAGTCTAAATTTTTTTTAAATCAGCACTTTAAAAAATGAAGCAATACCAAGAAAAAACAAACAAAAAAACCTATTAAAATCAATAGACTGTATGGAAGAACATTTTCTGTAATACATGAATTACTTAAACCTGTATTCCACCCAAATAAAGGAGTTATTTAAAATGTGAAATTCTTGCTGTGATTTTAACACGCCCAACTCTCTCCCATACTAATCTATTCCCAAAGGCCCGATACATCCCATTTCATGAGTATGAGAACAAAGACACAAGTCTTCTCATAAATCATTGTTCTTTCTATTCCTTGCGAATATTGTTTATTGTAGCAGAAGGAAATAACCTTGAATGAATGAATGAGCTGCAGCTGTGTAAAGCTGCAACCAAGCCAGTCAACAAACAATATGCAGTCATAGTTTTAAAGGGGCCCTTTCATATATTTGTATTCAAGATTAACTGTTAACTACTCTTTATATAATTATCCTGCCAAGAGACAGGACTGGCCTGGAAGGTTTTTAGGTGACATAAAGGGAGCCTTTAAGCATCAAAACAGCAAATTCACAGTCCACTCCATCGTCTACTTGCATGCAGTTCACATTCCAAGGTTCACAAGGTTTTGCACACTCTGCCTTCAGTGGTGCTGGTACCTGATCTATTTCCAAATACTCATTACTTGATTTTATGTGTGCACTAATTTTACATTATATTGAAAAAAAAAATCCCTCAACAGCATTTTCTTTCATGTGCATTTTAGACATTTTGTGAACAGGGTACCCTCCTCCCATTGCATTTCTGTTCTAGTAATAGGTAATTGCTACCTGCGTCCCCTGCCCTGTACCAACAGATGGTAGGATGACCTTCAATTAATGTTTGCTGACAACTGGTCTCATATTTTCTACTTGCTCCATAAATCATCTCTTTAGCTATTCATAGTTGTAACTAGGGATACACCGATTATTGGTTTTGCCGATTATTGGAGCTGGTTTTCAGCATTTTACTGATAATTGGTATAAGCCTTGTAATTTACTGTTATCACTGATAACTTACTCAGCTGTCCCAGTCACCACGTGTATCTGGAAACTCTAGCCTTCAGCCAACGAAGAGCCATTTAGTGACCTCATGTCACCTCTTTCTGTGAGTCTCTACATGCGGAGATCAGCTGAAGGCATGGAGGTGAGACAGTGAAAAATCTACTGTAATATACTGGGCTTGCTGACAAAGATTTAGGAGAATCACACTTCTGTCATTACCAGCACATGCTGGGATATCAGTGATCCCAGCATGTGCAGGCTGCCTGAGAGTGATAGGCATGTGATTGCTGACAACACTGTCATCAGGAATCACCATTACCATGAAGGGGTATATGTGGTCTGTAACAATCTCTAGGTAACACATGAATGCTAAGACCCAAGGTTTTCCAGCAGAATATTTTCCAGAGCATAATCCTGCCTCTCTCAGCATGCCTTCTTCCCATAGTGCATCCTGCTGCCATCTCTTTACCAGGTAAATGACTCACATGCATCTAGCCATCCACCTGATCTAATAGAAATTGTGATTCATGAGACCAGGCAACCATTGTTCTATAGTCCAGTTCTGATGCTCACGTCCCCATTGAAAGTGCTTTTGGCAGTGAACAAGGGTTATCATTGGAACTTTGGTTGATCTACACAGCCTGCAATGCACTGTGTGTTCTGACACCTTTCTTTCATGGTCAGCATTACGTTTTTCAGCAATGTGAGCTACAGTAGCTTTTCTTTGTGATGGCAGTGAACGGGCTAGCTTTTGCTCCCCATGTGCATCAATGAGCCTTGAGCGCCCATGATTCTGGTTCCGGATCACTGGTTGTCTTTCCTTGCACCACTTGTGGTAGGTTTTAACCACAGCATACCAGGAACACCCTATAAGACTTACCGTTTTGGAGATGCTCTGAACCAGTCATCTAGCCATAACCATTTGGCAGTAACTCTTTTTCACCTGCCCATTTTTCCTGCTTCCAACACATGAAATTCAAGAACTGACTGTTCACTTGCTGTTAAATATATCCCACCCCATCACAGGTGTCACTATAACCATATAATCAATGTTATTCACTTCACCTGTCAGTGGTTTTAATGTTGTGGCTGACCAGTGTGGAGGGGTGATGTTAAAGGGACACTATAGTCACCTGAACAACTTTAGCTTAATGAAGCAGTTTTTGTGTATAGAACATGCCCCTGCAGCCTCACTGCTCAATCCTCTGCCATTTAGGAGTTAAATCCCTTTGTTTATGAACCCTAGTCACACCTCCCTGCATGTGACTTGCACAGCCTTCCATAAACACTTCCTGTAAAGAGAGCCCTATTTAGGCTTTCTTTATTGCAAGTTCTGTTTAATTAAGATTTTCTTATCCCCTGCTATGTTAATAGCTTGCTAGACCCTGCAAGAGCCTCCTGTATGTGATTAAAGTTCAATTTAGAGATTGAGATACAATTATTTAAGGTAAATGACATCTGTTTGAAAGTGAAACCAGTTTGTTTTTTTCATGCAGGCTCTGTCAATCATAGCCAGGGGAGGTGTGGCTAGGGCTGCATAAACAGAAACAAAGTGATTTTACTCCTAAATGACAGTGAATTGAGCAGTGAAATTGCAGGGGAATAATCTATACACTAAAACTGCTTTATTTAGCTAAAGTAATTTAGGTGACTATAGTGTTTCTTTAAATAAAGAATACATTCATAATGTCTTTCATTTGAACATAGGTACTAAAGGGAATCTGCTTTGGGGTTTTTTCTTACAGCATTTTGTAGATAATTAGCTTAAGAGGAAGTTTTCACTTTCAAAGAATTTTAATGCAAGCTTTGCTTATCCCTATATTTTTAATTACTATAATTCACACCCCTTTTCTAGCAACTGAGCATCACCATCCCTGTCAATCATTGTTATAAGCTCTGCCCTTTGCACCTGCAACACAGAAAGCGTACAGAGAAGAGGTGAAGTGTTTCCGTTCCTCCTCCTCATTTGATTGTGTGTCATTTGCTACATCATTGTTTCCAAGTTAAAGATACAAATACAATTATAAAGATTAACACAAGTTACAAGTGGTTTTAACCCCTTAATGCCGTTACGGCGTTCTATACCGTCCCACATTAAAAGGGCTTTAAAGTCGCTGCGGCGGCATAGAACGTCGTAACGGCTTGCAGCCCCTGGAGGTCTGGAAGACTTACCTCCGCCGCAATCCTCTTCTGGAGGTCTGCCTGACAGACCAGGCAGCCCTCCCCCGGCAAATGAGGCCCCCGGGGGCCATGTGATCGCTCTCAAAGAGCGATCACATGGCCCCCTATAGCTGGCTCTGGACAGTCCCCCTGCTGGTAGGAGGTGTAAGAAAATATTATTAGACATGTTTAAAATTAATTAAAAGTATTTTTATATACATATAATATATGTATATCTATTATATCTATATATAATAGATATACATATATATATGTAACGTCATACAAAGTGTATTTTAATATTAATATAAGTACATATATTAGTATTAAAATACACTTAGAATGACGTTATATATATATGTATATATTATATATATATATATATATAATAGATATATACACATATTATATATATACGTATAATTACAATAATAAATAAATAAAATATTGAAACAAAATTTAATATAAATTAGATATTCATATGTAATTTCATTCTAACTGTATTTTGTTATTAATATATATATATATATATATATATATATGTAACAAAATACACTTAGAATGACATTCTATATATATCTATCTAAATATAAAATACAAATAACCGCAAATATATATATATATATATAGATAAATACATATATTTACATAAAAGATTACATTAGTATACACGTAGAATTTAAATACCTATAAATGCATATATATTAAAATTCTACGTGTGTATATATATATTTTTTAATTCTTTATTTGTCTGTGCACAAAATGATATCAGAGGTCGTGTCGCAACGACAACATTTGCGTATAGTAGGAACAGCATAATAAACAATATATACATAGCGTGGAACAGAGGCACAGTTTTGATCTTACATTAACTTGTATAAAATTATGGTGCGTAGTAGGGGTCTGCAGTAATCGTGCGGTCATGCCAAGGTTGTTTGAGACTGTCCACAAGAGCTGATATAGGGCTAGTGTCCGTATGGGTTATGTCTACGTATCTAGTAGCCTGGCCTGATCATCCCTTCGGGCGGGGTATGGGTATAGGGCCGTTGCAATTATGTGCTACTGGTTTTGAAAGGTAATTATGATGATCGCAATCGCATGTGGTGGGGCCAATCATTGGCTCCCTCTCGCTATTGGGGGTTGTGCTGTAGGCCTCCAACGGCGCTAGTATGAGTCCCCCTTATTGGGTTCTGGTGATATTCTCAGTGTCCTGTCAGTTTCCGCCTCTAACCCCCCCCCCCACTACTCTGCCCCTTGTAGCCGGGTGATAAGGCTGCTGTTAGCTTCCTATAGTGATCTGCGCTTATGGGTGCTATCTGTGTGTGATAGGGGGCCCCCTGAGGAGACAGGGGCCAAAGAGAGTAATAGAGATGGATATATCAAAAGGAAGATAGAAGTAGTGAGAGAGCAGGGAAGGGAGAAGGGGAGGGGATAAGGGGCAAGGCTCCAGCTCCGGGCAGGCAGGGGCAGAGGGCCGGGGGAGGCGGAGGACAGGGGTGGGCTTCCAGGGCCGGACCGCGAGGAGGGCTGTGACCCGCGCCTCCGCTTAGTCTGCGAATTGGCTCCCTCTCCAGGGCTCCCAAGTTCTCGCAAACCGCCCCACGTACCCCGCACCCGTGCAGTAAGGTCGTCCATGAGGCAGTTGTCTTTTATCTTCCCGATCACCACTGACCTGGAAGGTGGCTGGGTTTTTAGCTAGTGTTGTGCAATAGCTCTACGGGCGGCTAACGTAATTTTATGGAGTAGTCTCTGGTCCTGTCTCGGCCAATCCTCTATGGACCTATTCAAGAGATGTATCCATGGGTCTAGAGGTAGAGCCCTTTGAAAGACTTGCTCTATTATGTCTCCTACATCTTTCCAAAACGGTCTGATTTTAGGGCACTCCCACCACATGTGGGCGTACGTACCCCTGAGACCGCAGTTCCTCCAGAACAGGTCAAAATGTGATTTAGGCATTCTACATAATTGGACGGGGGTGACGTACCACCGAAATATGGTTTTAAAGGATTGCTCCTGCATGGAAACACAAACAGAGGAGGTGTTGCAGGCCTCCCATATTTCCCGCCACTCTACCCCCTCAAGGACCTCCCCCAGGTCTCTCTCCCAATGAGACGTGTATGTCAGGGAGCACCATTCAGTAGTGTCCGAGCATAGGTGGGCATATAGCAGTGTAATAAGGCCCTTAGGGGGTCTTTCATTGAGGCATATGTTTCGCTGTTTTGATATGGGGTTGCCTAGCGAAGTCTGCAATTTGGAGATACCTGAAGAAGTCCGCTGGAGTAAGGTGTTGCCCCTGCCTAACTGTGTCAAAGGATATTAGGGTGCCCCTGTCGTAGAGGTGGCATATTCTCTGTGGGCCTGCCTGTTTGATTCGCTTGAAATTACGTGCCATCAAGCCAGGGGGAAAGCCCTATTTCTCAGGAATGGCATGAGCAGGTATGGCACCGAGGACAGGTGGCACTTCTGCGCTGTCCTGTCCCATATGCGTATATGGGGTCTAAGGTCCCTCGGGACCCATATGTAGTCTACGTGTATATTTAAGTAATCTTTTAACATAATTATGTGATTTGATAAATTAAAATTTGATTGACATGCCTGACAACACAGGGAGAAAGTGCAGAGAATGTAATTCGCAAGCACTATATTTGACCCTGTAACTCTCCAAGACAACATAAAACCTGTACATAGGGGGTACTGTTTTACTGGGGAGACTTTGCTGAACTCAAATATTAGTGTTTCAAAATGATAAATTGTATTACAATGATGATATTTTAAGTAAAAGTGACGTTTTTTGCATTTTTTACAAACGTACGGCACTTTTATGGACTATATTATTGTTGTAATATGTTTTACTGTTTTAAAACACTAATATTTGTGTTTAGTGAAGTCTCCCGAGAATAACAGTATCCCCTATGTACAGGTGTTATGGTGTTTTGGAAAGTTAGAGAGTCATATATAAGGCTTGCATTTCATTTTTTTGACATTGAAATTTGCCAGATTGGTTATGTTGCCTTTGAGAGCGTATGGTAGCCCAGGAATGAGAATTACCCCCATGATGGCATACCATTTGCAAAAGTAGACAACCCAAGGTATTGCAAGTGGGGTATGTCCAGTCTTTCTTAGTAGCCACTTAGTCACAAACACTGGCCACACACAAAAACAAATATGAACGCTAACTTTCGCTAGTGTTTGTGACTAAGTGGCTACTAAAAAAGACTAAACATACCCCACTTTCAATACCTTGGGCTGTCTTCTTTTTCATATGGTATGCCAAAATGGGGGTAATTCTCATTCCTGGGCTACCACACCATCTCAAAGGTAACATTACTAATGTGGCAAATTTTAATTTGAAAATGGAATGTTCTATATTTGACCCTGTAACTTTCCAAAACACCATAAAACCTGTTAACTCGTGAGACATCTCTGATTACAAATATGTGCATTTTTTTGCAGTAAAACCTAACAGTATTATGACATTAACAGCTAAAACGTCAGACGGAAATACAATTTATTTTTTTTTAAATCTTATTTTCTCATATTTTTTTTAATTGTATTCATAATAAATTATGTTCCATATATGAATAGTTAATGATAAAGTAAAGCCCAGTTTCTCCTGAACAAAATGATATATAATAAGTGTGGGTGCACTTAATGTGACAGCGGTGAATTACGGTTGAACAGACACATTGCGCAAATTCCAGTTTTTGTTTAAGTTTTGTTTTGATCAGAACGTGCACTATTGACTCCGTCCTGAAGGGGTTAATGTTTCATTCAATGGTGTTTTTTTCCAAAGAATTTATGGATATTTTTTTAATACCGATTGCATCATTACTATTTTCACTAAACAGAAATTATTAAATATCATTGATTGACACTAGTGTTTAATTTCACCAAGGGCCATCTGCAATCACATAAGGTATAGATTTTATTTTTTCTAAGAACATTTTATATGAATAGAGATTTTCAGTATATTTCATGCTCATTTCAGGCATGCACTTTATTTCTCAAACCATTTACTGAGAGTTAGCAATGCAATGTATTTTTATACACATCCTGTTTGTTTGTACTGCTATCTTGTTCTTTTGCTTGAGTGGGTTTGTTAACGTGGCAGGTTGCTCTATATTATGCGTGGCTGACTTTGTGTGGAGATGTCAGAATCCTGAACATGGAAAAGTACATCCTAATGATCCGTGAATATAAACTGTCCAATTTTGTTTCTTGCAGGAATGAGTTGCTGTCTCATTTAAAGAACTATAATTTATATTATGAAGGACAGAACCTACAACTGAGACACAGAGAGGTAATAGAGGAGTGTCTTCATTGTCTTGTATATTGGATGTTAATGTTGATTTGCTGTCCAGGAAAATTAGAAATCATTTGGTGGTAAATAAGAATCAATACTCTCATCTGATCTTCTCATTCCCTTTCAAAAAAGCTCTGACTTTAATTTTAATCTTATTTCCTTCTATAGTATTTCCCCAATGCTACAGAATCTCAGTTATCCTTACTTGAGTTTTCATTATGAGTACGGTCCAACACTGAGTATTATAATATCAGGACGGGGCTATGAGAAGAACCAGATGGGGATGCCAATGAAGCAATGTGTGTCACTAGTAATTCAATAAATAGTTTAGGTGAAAAGGGGACATGCGAGGCTAGTGAGAGTGCATGCTGGACTAACAAGCAGCTCTGATAGTCAGCCAACCAGATCTGAGATTACACATAAGTCTGTCGAAGCACTAGGGGGAGAAATGCCCTATATTGGCCTTCTGCAGTTGCAACCACACTAGACTTGCCTTTTTTTCTTCTTCACAGAAGTGAGACACTGGACTGAGTAAATAGGATAGTTGGATGATGTGAGAAGTTTATAGTGAAGGACCTAGCTGTGGATGGCGTGGTAACAATAGAATACATAATATATGCCAGAGAAAGGTGGTTATTGAGGGAACAAATCCTAATGTGTATGAATGGAAAGCTATATTAGGTAAATTTGCATAGGATTTCTGCTACGAATGCAGGTATTTAAAGTACTTTGTACGCCTATTCCTCCCGAACTGCCGAGCCTTAGTGATTATAGCTGCAGTTTGGGTGTAGATATGAATAGTTCCAGACGAATGCAGCTTCCAAGTAGTTTCTTCCCCAGCTAGTAGATAGTTACCCAAACATGAACCTAGACTTCATGAAGGGTACAACAGGAATAATGGTTTATTGATGCCACACTGGCTTTTATGCAAGTCCCCATGCAAGAGGACTTCCCACATGGACCTTGTGGGGCACCAGGACACAAAGGTTACAACCAATAATATTACATTGACAAAGTGAAACACTCCCACTGCAAACATACAATCCCCTGCTCTCTGCCTGTGAGATAATTAAGTCAACTAAAGGATAACCCAATTATCTCCAGGCAGAAAAAACCCATATTTTCCCCAAAACGTAGAAAGTACCCTAAAACACATGGTATCCCCATAAATGACGTAGCCCTTGATAGCCCTGATCTGGGTGACCAACATATTAAAAAAAAACACCCAGATTACTTCAGGGGTTTTCGAATTGTATAGAAGTCCCATTTTACCGACCACACACGAGGCTCCTGCCCTATTTCAATAAAGTTAAATAAACGAATGAAAGCACGAACTGAGCCCCCTGGCTCATAGGAGCGATTGTTCCCCTTGTTCCTGAGAACTAAACTACCGAATGTCTTTACCTATCATATGTTTTTACCGGTGTTCGGGAAGTCGAGTGTCCGATTTTTAGTTCCAGACAATCTACGACAAAGTTCCGCTGCCTCCTTTCGTGCAAACAAGATGGCCATGTTTTCTCTTCCATGTGGCGTTCGGCTATACGAACGGCGGCCACCCAAAGAGAGCGCTCAAATTACAGTTTCCTTTGTAGATAATGAGCCAGGGGGGTGATGAGTGTTCGGTAGTTTCATCTACCGAACTAATAAAACAGAAAAGTCTCGAATGAAAGTCTCTTTTCTTCACAGCTTCCACATCTGCCGATAAGGTTTGCAGCCAAGGCCACACATATAGATGTAGGCAAGTTTCTGTGTAAGTGGGGCTTAATATATATGATTAGTGAGGCTCATCAGCCTCTCTCACACATTCAGGTACTGCCTTATACAAGGTTTGTCCCTGTGATGTCTGTTAGAAGTCTAGAGATCCATCAATTACCCTTTCCATGCTCCCACATATATGAAATAAACCCATACTTTAATGCAATCTTAAATGTGAGTTTAATGTTGGTCTTTTATTTTGTAGGAAGAAGGCGAGTTGATTGTTGAGGGTCTTCTCAATATATTCTGGGGTCTAGGACGCCCCATTCGTCTTCAGATGCAGGATGACAATGAGAGGATTCGTCCACCTCCCTCCTCCACATCATGGCACTCAGGCTGCAATTTGCTCTCCCAGCGGTTGGTATCAGCATTGTAGTTCTGTTGCACTAATATGTAATGTCAAACTTCCAAGATGCAATGCTACATCCTGTTGTCACAGGACCTGCAGTCAGTAATGTGTTTAGACTGAGGCTGATACAGCTGCCCCCATCCATTGTGCTGTAAGCCACTCAAGCCTTAGCTTTAGATTTTACTAGAATGATGGAACTGGAGCCTGAACAGTTGGTTCATACTTGGAGGCTTGCTCTCCAGCGCATATATATTTTATACAACTAAATGTGGCCATGGTGGTAATGCTGGGGTCTATTTACAAAAATGTTAAATGCAAAAGAATAATAAGCGCTCTCTTCTCAGGGGTGAGCAGCAGTTCACCAACAAGGTGTTCCTCTACCTTGTGATAAATGGACAGATAAAATAGAAAGGTGAACAGCGCTAAAAATCAGAAAATGTACATACGTTTTGTAGAAATACTGGCCAGCAGAGTAACTTAAAAAAAAAGAGAAACAAAAATACAAATAATGGTACAGTATGTATGAACGATATAATTCCACAAGAACAAAGGTGTTATATTCACACTCACACTTTGAGGAGCTATATCAGCTCGGTGTTAAGAGCCTGGACGGAATAATCCCTGTCTATGGATTTCTTGAGGTTCAAGACCGTTGGTGAATTTATAGGTGTAAATATTCGTTACATGAAAAACAAGAGTAAAATACACCACATGGTATAGTACGTAAATATAAAATATTGTGAAAAAAAAAAGTGGATGATCCTACTTACATATACTAGAGCAACGACCTGCTCTAGTTTGGAGAATTTCAGGTGGAATAATCCCCACCTTGGGATATAGTGGACCCAGGTATAGCAGCAAAGCAGTATTGGATAGGAAGGAGGACAAAAGGAATGACTGGATAGTTTAAAAAATATATATACTTTAATACAATAAGTAAAAAGTGAATAATAAACTATAAAACCAGTCCTGTATAAAAGTCCAAAATTCTTCCTCACTTGACGCGTTTCGCCGAAGCTTTCTCAAAAGTGTTAAACTGTTAGTGCTACTGCAGCCATATTGGAGTAAGTGACTTTAACACAGTAATAACTGCAGTAAGAACACTGTAATAACACAGGCAATCATTCATCCCTATCTCATTCTTTACCAAACCTTACCTGCCCTACTGGTAGATATTAATTTGATATATGGCTCAAATTGTAACTGAGAAAATGTTGCTGTGCTCATAAGAACATGAAACATGAAAAAAGTGGCATTAACCCCTTAAGGACCAAACTTCTGGAATAAAAGGGAATCATGACATGTCACACATGTCATGTGTCCTTAAGGGGTTAAAGCAATGCCATTTATAATGAAGACCCTAGGTTAAGGTAAGGGTTGAATTTAAAGGGACACTCCAGGCACCCTGACCATTTCTGCCCATTGGAGAGGTCTGGGTGCCAACTCCCACTACTCTTAACCCTGCAACTGTAATTATTGCAGTTTTCCTGCTCTATAGCACAAAAAAACCTGTGCTAGAGCGTCGCTGGATTTCCCCTCGTTTCCCCATAGGAAAGCATTGAAAAGCATTTTCAATGCTTTCCTATGGGGAGCGCTAATGCGCATGCGCGGTATTGCCGCGCATGCGCATTAGGTCTCCCCGGCCGGTGGGTGGGCTCAGTCTCGCCCACCGGCCGACGCAATCACAGGGAGGAGCGGAGGAAGAAGCAGCGACGTGGGATATCGTCGCTGCCTCTGGTAAGTGACTGAAGGGGTTTTCACCCCTTCAGCAACCAGGGATTGGGCGGTGGGAGGGAGAGGAGACCTGCAGTGCCAGGAAAACAGATTTTTTTTCCTGGCACTGGAGTTTCCCTTTAAGGTTATTTGTCACCAATTTCTTGGTTGTTTTAAAGTATTAAGTTGTACAACAGGCCTTGCTCCAAATGGTGGCACATCCTCACTGGTCACTAGTGATACATCAATCAAAATAATGGTGTATTTTGCAATAAAGGAAAGAGAATGCATTTAAAAATATATTTTGTAGCAGTTATTCAGCAGCAATAACACTATTTCCTACCTTGGTACCCCAGTTGTCTCGGAACTACATCTCATATCTTTATTGATAGCTGAGCATCATGGGAAATGTAGTCCAAAAAACATCTAGTGTACAAAGGTTGTCCATCACTAATTTTCAAAACACTGTAGTGTCAACGTTAATGGGATAATTTTGGTCCTGTTTAAAAGTTGATGTTCTCATTAATATTATTGCTTACTAAGGGTTACTGAGAGTATTTCTATCAGGCAGGAATAAGGTCGGCGGCTGGATTCTCAAAGCCTGCAAAGCTTTTATATTTCTGGCAATTTCCCGTGACTTTTGGATTCCAGACGCCTCTTCTAAGCCAACAAGGGGAATAGTCAGATTAAAGACATGTGAAAGTCATCTGGGCACCAGTTCCTGTTAACTGTTGCAATACTGGTTGTTTTAGAGCAGAGTTATTCAAATACTGGCCCGCCTTCTTTATTTTTAATACAACTCCCAGCTACTAGAGGCATATGTAGCTACAAAAGTTCACTAACTGCTGGAAGGCTATTGAACACCGGTAGCAATAGCTCCAAGTGACCCTATTTAGGAGGAACAGTCCCTATTTATTATTCTGTCGTTCTTTTTTATCCTAATGTCCCTCTTTTCTAGGAGCTCCATGTTGTTGGTTTCCCTGTTTGTACTTTTGAAATTTGAATTTGAAATTCACTTTGAATTCTCACTTTAGTGAAAAATCCCGTGAGGCCAAACATAACACATTTTTCTAATTTGGCTATTTAGGCATAACATTTGAAATTCACTCTGATTTCACTCTATATTCCTGGTAATTATCACATTTGTGAATAACCCTGATAATGTCCAAAACAACAAACAGGGTTATTCACTAAAGTTAGAATTCAGAGAGAATTTCAAATTTAATACTGAAGTAGCTGACATGTTTCTAAGACAGCTATGCTTCCATTTCTGCTACACTGGCCTTAAATGTAAAATTCACTTTGATTTCTTACTTTAGCGAATAATCCTGAAAGTAAAAAAAGAATGATAAAAAAACCTGACAATTACCATTCCCATCACACCTATTGGCAGCATTACCCAGCATGCTCAGGCTGCCATCTCACGTATTGGCAGCATTACCCAGCATGCTCAGACTGCCATCACACGTATTGACAGCATTACCGAGCATGCTCCGGTTCCCATCGCATGTATTGACAGCATTACCGAGCATGCTCAGGTTCCCATCGCACGTATTGACAGCATTACCCAATACCCAGCATGCTCAGGCACAAAATAGCTTAATGAACATTCAGATAAGTGTATTCTGATGAAAGCAAACACCTTTGCTGGAGCTTTGAACCAGACTCAGAGAAACTTCCCTTCCTTCACATAAACAATAGTAATTTTTGGCTATAATACTTTTAATGGCATACAGTTGTTTTTTTTTTGTTCCTTGTACTTAACATATATCAGTTTAACATATTATAAAAATATGCTTTTTTTTGGTAACTTATTGATTCAGGACTCTGTCAAGTGTTCCCCAAAGTGCCAACAGGAGTAACAGGACCTACAAAAGGGATTATTATATTCCAGAGCAAGATATGTGGCAGAACAAATGCCATGCTCTGATGAATGAGAGTAACATGATAAAGTATTATTTAAATAAACAATAAATCCTTCTTGAGAAACTGCCTTAGATTTAGTAGTGGTTTCAAGTTCTACGCTAATAGAAACTTATTCAATGTACTCTATATGACAGGATCATGTTTCTTTTGTTTCTATGTCAGAAACTATACATTGTGTTGCTGTAAGAATGGTTTGCCAATGTAGATGCTGGATTTTGTTACCAGAGATTAGTTATTTCTTGGGAATAGAATAGCAATTTACTGAAACGCAATAAGATAATTGCTATTCAATAACTGGGGATAAAGGTAACATAATCCAGTCCCATATGTAAGCTGCAAATACCTACCAACCATTGTCCTTCTACGGTAAATTGCAGTTATTAGATTTAAGTTAGCATTTGCTCTTTCCAGAATGATATTTAATGCACCTTATTTGATATATTGTTTGAATTTATCTTTCAGACAAGTGGCTAAGCAAGACACAATCCCAGATATACAGATAACAGATGTTTCGGATTCACCCAATACAGGTGAGTATCTGACAGATGGTTTTCAGTTTGCATGCTTAATATTGACTAATATTTACATTAGGAATTATGAGCAACACTTTAAAGTTTCTAAACATAAAAAACCCCCAAAACAAACAGGGAAAACAAAAACCTGTAAAACTTTATAGAATATGAAGTTCATGTAAAGTAGGGTAAATTGGGGGACTATCAAGTAAGTATTGCTCAGACTGACCAAGGGTTCACAATACCATAAAATAAAGTTATAACGTAACTAAAAATATTGCAAGCAAGATGGCAATAATACTTGCCCTTAAATTCTGTGGACATTCTGGACCAATTTATTTTATTGTCAAGTTTTTTATGTTATATAAATTTAAATAGCATGTTTTTTTTGGACTCAGTAGTGGATGTTATACCCTATTGATAGACATATGTTTGTGCTTATTTTTATATTTCTATATTTTTAATTACTACTAATTATTGCATCACACTCAATATTATTTCTCCCGACCATTCTGCTATATTTTTAATGTAATGGATAGGATATTTGGGATTCTGCTGATGTACCTACAATAGAGGACAAAACATAGTGCAAGTATTGCTACACACTATAAAACCATTGATGAAAAAAATGCACTCACATATTCCAAAGAATATAAGCGTATTCAGGGTGCCTCCCCCTAAATATGAATGGGGGGGTTTATTCTCCTTTAATTCTCCCTCCTCAAGTGTTAGCCAATAGAGTATCCAGGTCAGCAAGAAGATCCAAACAATTGCAGCCAAAGGAATACTTGAAAGGCGATTTATTCACTTTTAAAATTCAAGAGGTGTATAAAAATACATAAAAACAATATAAGAAAGAGATGCTGGTCCTACGCGTTTCGTCCTTATACAAAAAGGACTTCCTCAGGGACCTCTTTCAGCACAAAATTCAATCACCAGAAATACAGAGAATAAAAAACAGCATCCTTTTTTTACGCGTTTCGTCCTTATACAAAAAGGACTTCCTCAGGGACCTCTTTCAGCACAAAATTCAATCACCAGAAATACAGAGAATAAAAAACAGCATCCTAAAAACGCTAACACATGTATAACCTTATATAGGGCTAATCCCTTACAGTCATTGGTGGAACAGTGGGTGTTTTCTCCTCTTTGACTCCTTATTCGTCCAAAATTCCTTGTCTCCAGCTGTGTTCGCTTGATCAGAATGAAAAAAGCCGGGCTCGTTCTGAAATTGGCCACTTCCGCATACGTCATACGTTACATTCGCATCACGTGTTCCGTGATTGTTCACATGATCCTTATGCGTTCCACATTCAGGAAGTAAAATGATAGCAGCTTGGAAAACATCGTATTTCTTTTGCCTACTAATTGTACATACATAACTGGAAACAAAAAAACTATTAGGAATCATATAAGAAGATTTGAAAATTTATAATAATTGTCCTCTAACAATAAAACGCTAAATCCATTTTTACAATGAATGTGTAACAACTTCCTATCCAAGTTGACCATTCATGACATCTATCATAATGTGATCAAAAGTATATATATACATAACATTACAAAAAAATCTCTTTTTTTTTATTTTTTTTTTTTTATTATATATATAATGACAATTGTATATTAGTGATTCATATATTCATATGTTGACATTAGTGTCTAATACATCAACATAGTGAGCAGACCTATTAAAGTGCATTGATCTTTTTAAAGTGATATAAGTGATATTATACTTATTCACAAATCTATATATATACTAAGGGACTTGAGAATATTTATTTATTAATTATTTCATGCTCAAAATACATATCCATATTGTGTAAACTAAATGATGAAAAATATTATTCATTAATTATTGCGTACTTAATTACATATCCATATTATGTGAAACAAAAAATAAAGAATAATAATTGACCAACCATACACTCAATGTCATATCCGATTTAAATAAAGCGACATGAGTAGTATATGTTCAATCTTAAATATATCTTTATGCTTTTAACAATCAATTGAATCAAACGACAGTTAATTCAAAAAACAAACAATATCCATATCCACATTTAATCCCCTTGGGGCAAGGGTACGTAACCTATGAATCCAATATGATTCCCTTTGTGCCAATCGCTTTTCTTTATTGCCCCCTCACCAGTGGGGTTGAATTTGTTCTATCCCTATACAACGTAGCCCTTTCAAAGAAAAAAGGGGACAATTATTGCAGTGGAGGGGGACTGAATGGGTATCTAGTTTTTTCTTTATGTTGTTAATATGTTCCAAAAGTCGCACTTTTAGACATCTCTTTGTACGACCAACATATTGGCTGCCGCATGGACACTGAAGCAAATACACAACGCAGTCCGAGCGGCAGCCAATCTCTGATTTAATGGAAAACTGTTTCCCTGTAACGGAGCTACTATATGATGTCACCTTATCTGTGTTTACTTGAAAACAGGCTTTACAACTTTTACAACCCCGGAAACCTTTTGTCCCTTTTTTGATATTTTTAAATCCACTTTTTAGAGCATAACTAGGTGCTAATAAGTTCTTGAGATTTTGTTTTTTTCTATAGATTATTTTCGGCCTTTTTGACAGATGCTCCCCCAAAATGGGGTCCTCTAACAATATTGGCCAATATTTCTGTAGACTTCTTTTAATTCTTGGATGATCCACACTATATTGTGTGAAAAAAGCTTGTTTAAAGTCTTCCCCCTTTTTCTTATTACTAGGGCCATCCATTAAAAACTCATTTCTACTCCTTTTAGACATCATCTGGATTTCCCTCCTAATTTTCTTCGGGTTGTAGCCTTTTTTAACTAGTTTATTGGCTACATGTTGAGCCTGTATCTGAAAATCCTTAGTATGGGAACAATTCCTCCTCACTCGAGTAAGTTGTCCCTTAGTGATCCCCTTCAACCAAGGTTGATGGTGACAGCTACGTTTATGAACATAGCTGTTCCCATCTGTTGGTTTAAAGAAACATTTAGTTTTGATCTCACTTCCCTCACTAAAAAGGGTGAGATCCAAAAAATTAATTTCTCTACGGTCCCATACTGGAGAAAACTTTAAATTGTACTCATTTTGATTTAGATAATTGACAAAGGTCTTAAAATCGGAGTCCGACCCCTTCCAAATAATAATCACGTCGTCTATATACCGCCGCCATAGGACCAGGTTCTCCACCCAGTCATGACCCAACCATACGCAGAGGTCTTCCCACCTGCGCATGTATATGTTGGCATAACTGGGGGCGAACCTGGTACCCATGGCGGTGCCCACCAATTGCAAATAGAACGATTGATCAAAAAGAAAATAATTATGTTCTAATATGAACTGGATACCCCACAGGATGAAGGACCTAAAACCTATAGAAATATCTTTATCTTGATTTAGATAGAAAGCAACTGCTTCCAGACCAAGATTATGACTAATAACCGTATACAACGAGGTCACATCCAATGTGGCCCAGCTGTAGTTCTCCTGCCATTCCAGATTTTCAATTTCTTGCAAAAAAGATTTTGTATCCTTTGTATATGACAATGCCATTTGGGCATATTTTTGTAAATAACAATCCAGAAAGGCAGAAAGATTTGCCGTGATCGATTCAATGCCACTTATTATTGGGCGGCCTGGAGGACTTGTTAAATTCTTATGGATTTTTGGAATAAAATAAAAAATTGGAATAACTGGGTAGGGGTTCCAAAGATACTCAAAATTACGTTTTGTAATAATATTTTCATTTCTGGCTTCTTCTAAAAGGGTTTTTAGTTCTCCATTGAAGACCTGAGAAGGATCATTTTTGAGTTTTTTATAGGTTTTACCATCAGCTAAGATATTAGAAGCTTCTTGTCGGTAGTATTGTTCTGACATGATGACTATTGCTCCCCCCTTGTCCGCTTCTTTTATAATAATGTCCTCCCTTGAGATTAAATTATTTAATGCTAATTGCTCCCCCTTGGTCAGATTTTGTACTTGATCTCCTCCTTTTCTTTTCCTCTTACCTACCCATTTCTCAAAGTCTTTTTCAACCAAATTCTCAAAGGTCTCCAAATGAGACCCTTTACTCTGCACTGGGAAAAACTTAGACTTGGGCTTAAATTTTTTCTGTATATCATTTAGCCCGTTTCCATCTTTGTTTTCAAAAACTTTATTTTCAAAAGGAATGGGAAATTTTAAGAAATGTCTTGTAACTGTCATAGATCTGATAAACTTTTTAAAATCAATATATAATTGAAAATCATCTGCCTCTTGATTGGGGGCAAATTTCATTCCCTTTTCTAATAGTTGAATCTCCTGTTCTGTTAAACTTGTGCCAGATAAATTAACAATCCCCCTTTGTAATTCATCTCCTGATATTTCTAATCTCTCCCTTGATTTCTTTCCTGATCCTCTGCCCGTTTCCTTTTCTGTGGGGATTCCTTGTATAGATGAGAAAAACGATTGGGATGTTCCCACCTTTTTTCTCGTGGATGGAAATAATTGGTGATGGTTTTTTCTTTTGGGACTCTTGCTCTTTCCTGAAAATTTTCATTTTCCCTAGTCTCCAGAGGATTTGCTTTTCTAATTTCTTCCTTATTTCTCACAACCTGTGCATAAGTTTCAAAATGTTTTTCATAATGTTTTTCCCTTCTATATGGGGGTTGTGTTATACAATCTGCATCATCAAATTCATTCCTATCTATCCTCCCCTCAAAACATGCTTTTTCCCCTCTTTTTGAGTTTTTGTATGGTATATCCCTTTCTCTTTCTGAAGGACTTTGTCCAAAAACCTTAGGCGATCTTCCCCTACCTGGGGTTCTTCTCCTAGCCTCAAATGAGGGAAATCTTTTCCTAAAATTATATTGAGATTTCTTATTTCTCTCTGGGGTTGTTCTTCTAAAATTTCTGGATGGAGTTCTAATGAATCTTCTTCTAATATTTGATCTTCCTACTCTTTTGCGGGCAATTTTATTCTTTATTGAAAAATTATTGTGAACCATATCATCTTTGTCCCTTAGATACTTATTATTCTTAGTATCAGAGATCTTTTCATCTAGATGTTGTAATCTTTTAAATAAGATCTCCTCCCTTTCTTTAAACTCTACATCTTCTCTATTGCCAATATCTGTTTTATCTAAAAGTACCAGATCTTCCTCAATCTTCAGGATGCTGTTTTTTATTCTCTGTATTTCTGGTGATTGAATTTTGTGCTGAAAGAGGTCCCTGAGGAAGTCCTTTTTGTATAAGGACGAAACGCGTAGGACCAGCATCTCTTTCTTATATTGTTTTTATGTATTTTTATACACCTCTTGAATTTTAAAAGTGAATAAATCGCCTTTCAAGTATTCCTTTGGCTGCAATTGTTTGGATCTTCTTGCTGACCTGGATACTCTATTGGCTAACACTTGAGGAGGGAGAATTAAAGGAGAATAAACCCCCCCATTCATATTTAGGGGGAGGCACCCTGAATACGCTTATATTCTTTGGAATATGTGAGTGCATTTTTTTCATCAATGGTTTTATAGTGTGTAGCAATACTTGCACTATGTTTTGTCCTCTATTGTAGGTACATCAGCAGAATCCCAAATATCCTATCCATTACATTGTTCTGCTATAAGGTTATTAGCTGGGAAATAACCTTGGGAAGCTGTGTACTTTTCAGTTAAGTTGTTGTGTTTTATCACTTTTCTCACGGGTGTCCGTGTTTTTGTTTGCTATATTTTTAGTTAGGTTATATCTTTACAGTTTCTCTCTCTGGCTGATTATTAAAAAAAAATGAACCGTGGCCAATTGCAACAATTGAAACAAAACTCTGTCAAAACCTTTGACAATAGTTCTTAAAAAGACTCTATAGGCACCCAGACCACTTCAGTTCATTCACCTTTGGTCCGGTAAATGACGCTAGATGTCCTCACGCTCTGCATGAGGACATCCAGCATCAGATTTTTCCCCATAGGAAACCACTGATTCAGTGCTTTCCTATGGGGAGGTCTAATGCGTGCGGCATTCACCACGCATGCGCACTAGCGCCCGCTCAATGCAGGATGTCAGAGGAGGCAAAGTTAAGGTAAGTAAATAATAACCTTTTATTCATCAGAGAGAGTGAGGGAGGTAAGGGAGGGGGCTGGCAGAGAGGAACTTAAAGGAATCCTCAATTAATTCAATTGATTCCCTGTCTACATTACTACTATAATAGGACCCCTATCTGCATTTTCCACTTACATTGTCAGTGTCAATAACTTGGACAACTATGTGTTTGGTGAGACCAGCGGTTATTCCAAGAATTGGCACCCATCTGGTTCCTTGAGAGAGGTGCAAAGTGTGTAAATATACATAGTGTTCTACATTATGAATTCAGTAACTCTAGACTAGACCTTGGCTTGCAAATCTTATCGCTGTCCCTGTGCTAGCAGATATGTGCAACTTTGACAAACAGAAAGTTTGTTTTTATTTCCTCTGACAAACTGATATGGGAGATCTGACTCACTGAATTATCTTACAGAATTTAGCAAATAAACAGGGTGCATCGTAACACTTTTATAAACCCAACATACTTCCTTTTTAAACCACAACAGCTATTTTCTACATTTTGCACAGAAAACTACACCAGCTGCAGAACTTCCTCTATAAGGGCGAATCTCTGATATTCAGTTTTCACGGAATCCTTTGCACTCCTAGTTGTTTTGCATATTGTTCATGCCTTTGTGCTACCCAAACCACTATTGCCTGTGTCACAAAATAGACACATAACAGGTGTTCTTTCATATTTAAGTACACTAATCAATATCAGGAGGCAGTTTATGTGACACTGGTGGTGTGTCCTGTAATTTTAGTTTGTCTCAGTGAGGATATTTGCAGCAGATAGATTGGTTGACATTGATGTGATGTGTGGGTTGGTACCTGAGTTTGATGAAGAAAAACTGAAATGGGTACAATGAGTGCAGCCACACTGGATACTTATTAAAGAGCTGGTAACTTGTGCAGATCATTTAGACATTTTCAGACCAGTACATGTCCTCAGGATTGCTGAAGGTACAGAGAATTTACTTAACAGGTATAATCAATGGCAGCTGGTGAATTTTAAAGATGGTGGGATGCTAGATTGTATCGCTTGAATTTGAGTCTGGAGGGGTGAATACCTGCACTACTTGCACCTAAAGACCAGTTTTTACTGGGTGTAATGCCTGATATACAGGATCTGTTGTTTTGCTCCTTCAGTCTTTAAAGGACTGCTCCACACTTCCATCCACCCCCCACAGTTTAGTAGACATACCCCCAATGAATACATGCATGCATATTTTCATGTATGTATTCATTGGGAGTATAGTTTAAGAGAGCTTACAAAATCTGCAGTTCTTGTGAAAAAATCTGCATCCCCTTTTTTATGGAAGAGACTTTCAGTCAATTCACAGGGAAATATCTAATCAGTGGCTTCTCGTTAAGATGCCTCTGACTTGGTCCCTAGGTGCACACGCAAGCCAGATCCTGGACGCGCATGCACACGGTTCCATGCACCTGTACCAGATCGTGAACACGCACCCTCCTCGAGTACTCCAGTGGGGGTGGTGAAGAGAGTTGAAAGGAATTATATTATTTAAAAAATAAAATAAAATGGAATGAAAGGATAGGCTTGGAGGGTCCAATAGCATAAATGGGCTATCTTTATTGGAGACAAAAAAAAATCAGTAACATAAAACAGCTTTAAAAAAACACTAACACGTTTCTCCTGCAAAGAGGCTTTATCAAAGTGTAACACTGAATACAAAGTGAAACACTTTGATAAAGCATCTATGAGGAGATGCTGATTGTCCAGCGGGGCATTTGGCCCCACCCCTAGCCTGCCTTCTTGGCAATCTCACCAATCCAATGCTTTCTTATGGGAAAGCAGTGTGACTGGCTGAGATAATCAATTCGGATGATGTAGGAAGCAGATCGGGGCAGAGCCATATTCCGGTACTGGAAATAAGGTGAGCTTTCACCCTATTTAAAGGGGGCTAACTATTGTTTTTAACTCTATAGGAATACAAATTTGTGTTCTTGACCCTATAGTGTTGCTTTAATTCACTATTTATTGAAGACAGTACAACATACAGTACATCAGAAACATGGCTTGTATGACAAAAATCAACTTGAGAGAACACTATAGATACATTTATGCAACAGTCAACCATGTTGATGATATAAGCCAAACGTCAGGCCTGTAACCATGCTTTTTTAGAGAAAGGGCAGATGTCTCTGTATCTGCAAATTTATGGACTTACTGAAAATATAAAAATGAGGGGAAAAATGGAAAATATAACATGAGTGGTAGGAGATGGTAGAAATGAAAAGGTTAGCAAACAGCCCAACCAGGTTTTGTGGTTTGGATCTTTTCAGGTGTATATAATTTTAAGAGAGTTTTATTTGCAACTAGTTAGTAAATATTGGATTTGAGCTAAAATAAATTTGGGTTACTGAAATCAATTTGATAGAAGTCCTTGCAACACGAAACCAGTTGCTGTGCCACCCATCAGCATGCATTTCTTTTATCTTCCTCATTAAATAGGTATCTTCTGGCAACTGTGCCACTTCTGAGTATTTATCGAGGTCACACGATGGTCTGTCAGTCAATGATGCACACACAGCTGTTCATTCCCTATAAATTATACAAGACGACAGCTGGTCTCAGTCTAGGTGCCTTAATAATTAAGGACTCATTTCCTCAAGTCTCAGAACTAGCAGCTTATACCAATATGTGACACTGATACAGTAAGGAGAGCAAAAAACAAGTCGCAAGAGAGTGCTGAGAATGGACAACAGCTCAATTAGCCTGCCCTTTGGTGGGTCCCCGCTCGGTTCTCAAGCTGGTTTTAGCTCAACTTGTGCCATTACAGAGAGAATTAGGCCATACCTCTCAGACTGATTCCACCCAAAAGGGCAGAACAGATCCAAAATACAGGCCAGCTCTCTCTGCACGAGAGATACAGCAACCCCATGCGTTGTCCGTTCTCAGCACTCTCTTGCGACTTGTTTTTTGCACTGATACAGTTAGCTTAGGACAAATGAGCACATCCTGATGCCAGCCGTACCCACCTACTTCATGCTACACAATAACTGCACAAAGCACAAACAAGGTCAATTATATTTATTGTGAGGCATTAGATGTATTGTACTATAATACACGTTTAAATTCTGCAGGATTTATTAGCTAGTTAAATGCTGTTTGCCTGACAAGGCAATGAATAAAAGATTAAAAGGATTAAGTAATAGTACTCCTTGTGTTCAGTCATTTGTATTTGTTTGTGATTCTGTGCCATAACGCTTTACAAAAATTAATATATAGTTTTATTGAGCAAGCTACATCTGATTAGTATTAAATGTTTCTATTAAATAAGCATATCCAAGTAATATTTGCCATAAACATTCGCTTTAGAAACACTGCAAGAGCATACCCCCAACAACAGGCTCTCATGACCATGGATGCCGGTGAGCAGACCCGTGAAATGTCCAAAGGGGATGGACCCGCTAGGAATGTAGGATGTTCTACCTGAAGACCTGGGAGGCAATGCTTGCCAGGCTGCTTGCCAATCACAAAGGCCAGACCATGATGGCAGACTATGCAGAGATCACTATTTAAGTGCAATCTGCATGGTCCTATTGTCCTTAGTGTAGCGTGAGTGTGTCTAATTTTAAAAGTGGGACACAAGGAAATAAAATTGGGACATAGGGACTCATTATATCTCATGATGATTAGTCAAATATTTGTCCTTTATTTGCTTCAGATGTGCAGATCTTGTTAAGTAGGTATCTAAGCATCAAGGAAAACATTGGTCAAAGTCAGTGGAATTCCAGATTTACACTTTACTCCTATATAGTTGCTCTCACTTTTACAAATGCTTATCTAGTCTTGCCCAATGTTTTGTGTCACTGTAGAAGAGGAAGATGTGAAACAGTCACAGGATGAAGCACCTCAGCTGATGCGCACTAGGAGTGATGTTGGAGTTCGCCGAAGGGGAAATCTGCGTACACCAGGAGAGCAGAGACGCATCAAACGTCATCGTTTCTCCATCAATGGGCACTTCTACAACCACAAGGTGCAGGATGGGTGCTGAAATGGTTGTTTAACATATTTGTGATTTAAACCCCAGCTTATCTGAAGTGAAAACTATATGCAAGTAAAAAACAGACAAAAAACTGGGATAGTTCAGATCCTACCAATCAGGGCCTATCACTTTAGATCCTAGGTAGAACCTACTTTATGGGATTCAATCAACAAACTTTAAGTTGTTGTAAGTTGGCAACACAATATTAGATAGGTGAATTTGGAATAAAGTTAATTTACAGTATATTAAATTATGGTTTAATTAACAACATACTTTAGACTGAATTAAAGATTTGGGGGAGGAGGGGGAAACTGCAGTTAATTTTGCACAGTCAGTTTATCATGATTGACAATGTTTTCAGTGAACAGAGAGCTGTGGACAGATGACTTGAATCGAGCATTATAATTAATTAATTAAATCATTTCCAAATCTGCTCTTCTGGACTAAAGTTTGCAGCTTCTGTGTCAATGTGAATATTAAATACCGTATATGGGATCCCAGTAGCTGTCCATGTTTAGTAAGCGGGTCATGTGAATAGACAATTAAGATTCCAATCCATTGATTCTACTCCTGTCCTGTGGAGGGGGGTGAGGGGATTTGATAGCTGAATAAAAAGAAACATTTGGTTAAAATAAAGAATATTCAGTGGCAGCATTTATTTAGTTGTCAGGAAATGAAGATTATCTCATACAGCCCCCCTATATCATAGTAATATTAACCACTTCTGTTTGCGAATAATAATCCTTTTATACAGGTGTGAGGCTTGAGAAAGGTTATGAAATGTTGCTCTGTTGGTGACGTGTTCGATAGAGAGTCCTGATACGTATGCTGGAGATATAGTGTGTGTGGGTGTTGAGGGGAGTGCCAGGGCACTCCTTACACCATAATCACTACAGCGTGTTATGGTGAATGTTGTATTCCTTTAATACTCATTATTATAAATATTAATGTACTGATTTACTTGAGCTACTCTTTAACCTTTTGTTGTCTCAGACATCAGTGTTTACTCCAGCGTATGGATCAATAACCAATGTCCGAATAAACAGCGCCATGTCCACACCTCAAGTACTCAAACTCCTCCTCAACAAATTCAAGGTAAGAAATATTAAAAGATAATAAAAGGAGGCATTAAGCTCTAACTAAAGAACATGTTGCTTTATGTAATGTATCCAAGGTTTCCTCTTGTATGTATCTATCACATTCCCTGTATACAGAACTAGCTATATTGACATTAGCCAGGTACCAACAGCTAATCCGGTTTCCTCTCATCTGATTGGCTGGTTTTTCAAGCCATGCTATAGCCAGCTGCTACTATAACGCTAGTTTTGGTATATGTTTTCTTCCTACAGGCATGGTTTAACTGTATGAATATCCATAGCTTTAGTTGAATTACAGCCCTAAGGCAAGCTGAGCATCATGCAGACTTTACTGGAGTTATAAGCATAACATATGGTTAACCCTCATGGTTAAGGAAGAGACTTATACTCATAAAATATTATCATCATCATCATTACATTGTTACCGGTCATCATCACTACTTTGTTACCTATCATCATCACTACATTATTACCTGTCATCATCACTACATTGTTACCTGTCATCATCACTACATTGTTACCTGTCATCATCACTACATTATTACCGGTCATCTTCACTACATTGTTACCAGTCATCATCACTACATTGTTACCTGTCATCATCACTACATTGTTACCTATCATCATCACTACATTGTTACCTGTCATCATGACTACATTGTTACCTGTCATCTCATCACTACATTATTACTGGTCATCTTCACTACATTGTTACCAGTCATCATCACTACATTGTTACCTGTCATCATCACTACATTATTACCTGTCATCATCACTACATTGTTACCTGTCATCATCACTACATTATTACCTGTCATCATCACTACATTGTTACCTGTCATCATCACTACATTGTTACCTGTCATCATCACTACATTGTTACCTGTCATCTCATCACTACATTATTACTGGTCATCTTCACTACATTGTTACCAGTCATCATCACTACATTGTTACCTGTCATCATCACTACATTGTTACCTGTCATCACCATTACATTGTTACCTGTTATCATCACTACATTATTACCTGCCATCATCACTACATTGTTACCTATCATCATCACTACATTATAACCTGTCATCATCACTACATTATTACCTGTCATCATCACTACATTGTTACCTGTCATCATCACTACATTGTTACCTGTCATCGCATCACTACATTATTACTGGTCATCTTCACTATATTGTTACCAGTCATCATCACTACATTGTTACCTGTCATCATCACTACATTGTTACCTGTCATCATCACTATATTATTACCTGTCATCATCACTACATTGTTACCTGTCATCATCACTACATTGTTACCTATCATCATCACTACATTGTTACCTGTCATCATCACTACATTGTTACCTGTCATCTCATCACTACATTATTACTGGTCATCTTCACTACATTGTTACCAGTCATCATCACTACATTGTTACCTGTCATCATCACTACATTATTACCTGTCATCATCACTACATTGTTACCTGTCATCATCACTACATTATTACCTGTCATCATCACTACATTGTTACCTGTCATCATCACTACATTGTTACCTGTCATCATCACTACATTGTTACCTGTCATCATCACTACATTATTACCTGTCATCATCACTACATTGTTACCTGTCATCATCACTACATTGTTACCTGTCATCATCACTACATTGTTACCTGTCATCTCATCACTACATTATTACTGGTCATCTTCACTACATTGTTACCAGTCATCATCACTACATTGTTACCTGTCATCATCACTACATTGTTACCTGTCATCATCACTACATTATTACCTGTCATCATCACTACATTGTTACCTGTCATCATCACTACATTGTTACCTGTCATCTCATCACTACATTATTACTGGTCATCTTCACTACATTGTTACCTGTCATCATCACTACATTGTTACCTGTCATCATCACTACATTGTTACCTGTCATCATCACTACATTGTTACCTGTCATCATCACTACATTGTTACCTGCCATCCTCACTATATTGTTGGTAAACAAAAGTACAAGATCTTTCTTGCCTGTTCACTAGATCATTATGAAAATGTAGGATGTATAAAGCTTCTCAGCCCTTACTAGGGAAAACATACTAAATATATTCTTCATTATTTTAGATCGAGAATTCTGCTGCAGAGTTTTCTCTCTATATGGTGCACACGAGTGGAGGTAAGTCCTGGGCAGCTTTACAACGAGTGGGGCTATTACATAACCAGGGAAAATATAAATACAATGGGCCCTTTGTTTCAGCTGAATACACACACACACACGACTAATTTTATGGTACAGATTGATCTAGTCTAGATTGGAAATCTCAATAGAATACATTTTAGTCACATATACCAAATGCATAGTAAATATACAACAACGATGCAACAAACAGGATTGTTTCAGGGGCTTTATTTCACTGTAGGATTACCAGTATGGGATTTAATCATGAAAAAAAAATCAGTTGCCAAAATATCTAAATTAGAAGAAATAGTGTCCTTGACCTACTTTGGACTCGATGTTGAAATGCAAAGCTAAATCTGTTGCTAAATCAGTCTCTTTAATCCAGCTGTTCCCCACTACAGCTACAGCATATTCTGTCTACTTGGATACCCAATACTTGGTTCAAATTAGCCATGTTAGTAAAATGATGGACATGGGAAAATGTTAAAACACAACATTATTGGCATACATTTTGCAGTTTGGTAATGTGTTCTTTAAAATTCACATTCAATTTAGTGACTGCATAACATTGGTGACACATTCACAAACTGAATTATGAATAAAAAATGTAAAATTCCATATTATGCTCCAAATCATTGGGTTCATATTTGCTACCCATGCCTAAAATATAAATATATATATTTTTTATATTTATTTTATTTATTCAAAAATGTTTCCTTATTTTCCATGTAGAAGTGTTTTCACAAAAGGATATATGCATGTAAACATGAAGATCAACATCATAAAACAGCGTATATACAGACATATGACGCACTTCAGCAAATTCCCCAAAAAAAAAAAACAGAGACAAAAAGAAAGAATATATTTTGAGACTCGACAGGGAACAACCAGGGACTAACCACTTTTCAAAGTGTAGAAAATTTGCAAGTCCAGGGTTACCATGTTTTAGTCAAATTCCTATAATGAGGATAAAAAATAGTGCTCAATTCCATCTTATGTTGAAACTCTATTTGTTCCAATATATCATGCCAAGCCGGAAGGGAAGGAGATTTCCATGCCCTAGCAATATTAATTTTTACTGCAAAAAAAATGTGGGTCAGGAGATATCTTTGGTTCTTATCCTGTGTGGGGAATCCCATATTAAACAAGAATAGTTGAGGGGTAATTTCTCTAATATCCTTATAGATAGATTTTACTAAGTCTAGCATTTGTGTTTTGATGTTATTAAGCACAGGGCATTCCCACCAAATATGATAGATATTACCCTCCTCATACCCACATCTCCAACAATCTATTTTAACACTCTTTGCATGTTACCTGCTGGTAGATGTCCTCATCCCTTCCTCATGGAAACAGGAACAATGTAGTTGAGCTAAGCTGAAAATGGTTTTCACCAATAATGGAATCATAGAAACATAGAAACATAGAATGTGACGGCAGATAAGAACCATTCGGCCCATCTAGTCTGCCCAATTTTCCAAAAAAATGCAAAGTAAATTCATGTAAAACCAATCAATTACAGTGCTGTAAGAATATGAAATATATTTTAAAACTCTAAAGAACAATAAAGGAATCTTGTCTCTATTCCTTCTCATTCTCAGTATTATAAAATTGTTAATTAATTAAATCAGACACTAGATGGCAGTATTGTTTCCATTAGTGTTGAGAAGAATTCCGGTAGCTATGCTATAGAGCAGGGCTGTCCAACCTGCGGCCCCCCCAGATGTTGCTGAACTACAACTCCCATGATTCTTTCAATGAAACAGATAGCCAGGGAATCATGGGAGTTGTAGTTCAGCAACATCTGGGGGGCCGCAGGTTGGACAGTCCTGCTATAGAGCATGGGTCCTCAAACTCCGGCCCCCCAGATGTTGCTGAACTACAACTCCCATGATTCTCTGGCTATCTATGTAATTCAAAGAATCATGTGAGTTGTAGTTCAGCAACATCTGGGGGCCGAGTTTGAGGACCCATGCTATAGAGCTACCAGTGATATAAACATGAATGGAGAAAGCAGGTGTATAGAATGGGGCAATGTGGAAAACTTATGAAAAAAAGAACAAAACACATTTTTAAGGGGTCTATTATCTTATTCACATAGCTTTAAAACAATGATATTTCTATCAGAAGAATGAAATAAAAAACAAAGTAAAAATAAACAAAGCCATAATAAAACTAGAGTATATAGTGGTATAATATTACTTTTTGTTTGACCATTTATTTTTTCATAAATAATCTGTGCGATTTAAAGTATGCCTTCTAACAGATGCCCCCTTCACATTTTTTTAGAGTTCTTACCCTTGTGGATATACTTTCTTAGTTGGTTTTATGGTTGTAATGTTTTTGAATATGCCTAAAATATCTCACCATGTCACATTATTTCTAATGCAGAGAAGTGGAAGCTAAAAGATTGTGATTATCCTCTCATTGCCCGTATTCTGCAAGGACCCTGTGAGCAAGTGTCTAAGGTTTTCCTAATGGAGAAGGACCAGGTGGAAGAAATCACATATGATGTAAGATATTTTCTTTCTCTATTTGCTACCTGTAGACATGTGAAAATGTATATTTATTTATTTTCTTCTTTTCCACTGTGTCTATTATTTAGTGGAATGCTCACAAATCAGTATGTTGGGGAGATTTGTGAACCAATTTCTAAGTTACCTGGGTTCACCCTGGTGCCTTCAGTGTGAAGTACCTATTTCCACATGATTGACATTAATTCTACTCATCTTTGGATCAAATTGGCTAAGAACCTTTTTTGATGCTCACAGCTAATACATCCTGTCCAAATAGGGACAAATAAAAAAGATTTCTAATCCAGAACAGAAACGTCTGTCTTCAGTATGTCTTAAGAGGTGGTCCAGACTAGAACTGTTTAACTACTTACTGTGGGATACTGCCAGTGGCTCGGGCACCATAGCCACTATAGCAGATATAGTGCTCATGATGCTAAGATTACCAATTTAGATTTACAAAGTCACCAGAATGCACTATATAGTGAAAAGACCCCATATTGTTTAAAGTTAAAAAAAACCTTGATCACAATCGTGTATATTTTCCTTCCTTAGGTGGCACAATATATAAAGTTTGAAATGCCTGTTTTGAGCAGCTTTATCCAAAAGCTAAAGGAGGAAGAAGACAGAGAGGTCACCAAGCTAACGAGAAGGTAAAGAAATGCACTTTAACAGATTTAACAGTGTGATCCCTTATAAACCAGTGACGAGCAATGCTTTCACCACTAAAATCACTCAGACCACTCAATCTCAATTACGTTGTCTGGGTGCAGTGGTCATGTTTTTCTCCAACAATATAAAACAGGGAAGTTTTTTGACACATTGCAATTGTGAGGCTACACACCTCTAGTGGCTCTCTTCTTAACAGTCCCTAGAATGTGGTGCGTCCTTGGGGAGAACTGAACCTGAATAGGTTCTTCACTGATAGAAGCACTTGATAGCAGCACATGCACGTTAAGTCTGCAATGCTTCTCAATGAGTAGCAATTGATTGGACAAAATAGTCATCAAACCTGATGACCTCAGTGGAGGTGGACTGGGCTGCTCAGAAGAGTCTGCATCAGCACTGGCTTGCAGGTAACAGGTTAACTGAAGAGTTTGTTTAAAAATTGCACCTCCTTCCCATAGTGTTCCTTTAAAGACCCTGTGCTGGCATGGTTCTCGGTCAGCATTAATTGAGTAGGGTATCAGTGGATCATATAGTTATGAAGATGATATAGAGTCTAGACCATAGTTGTCCTACAATAATAAATGTAAGTTGGTATCAAGTTAACAATTAATGCCAACATAATTCACTAGAAGTGAACTTAGTGCTGACTCCAGAACTCTCTGTAGCTAGACATTTTTTTTTTTACAGAAAATATCCCATGGGTTTACTACATGACCTTTGTTTGCATATTCCTTTGAGGTTAGCTCAATAGAATATTATAGAACACGATCTATATAACTCAAAGCAATGTCATGCTCAGAACTCATAAATCTTTTTTTTCAGCAGTTTGTTTGGGTATTTAATGCATTCACATTGAACTGAAGCTGGCAAATTATACATGAAAGAAATAAAATTGTCCTACTCTGCAGAATTATATCACATCACTTACTAAACCCTTAGTTAGTTATGTAAATTGGAGTCAGAGAACTTGATGAATTTGCGATTCAAAATACAGCTTAGATTTTCCCTAATTAAAGGAACGCTATAGTGCTAGGAATACAAAACTCTGCCTCCCCTCCCTTGCGACACCCCATCAGCATATGAAGGATTAAAACCCCTTTTTTGACTTACCTGATTCCAGCGCTGAGGACCCTCATTGCGTGCACTTTCGGCCTCCTCTGACATCATTGCAAGGGAGGACCTAATGTGTATGTGCTCATTATGTGCGCATGAGTGTTGAGCGCATTAGGCCTTCCATATAGGAAAGCACTGTATCAATGATCAATGATTTAGAAGACACAGCAAGTCATAATGAAAAGCTTGCGGACATCCAGCATAGTTTCACAGAATCAAACTGCAGGAAGCACCTCTATTGGCTGTCTGGTAGGCAGCCACTAGAGGCAGTCTTGTTTTTTAGAAACTGCAATGTTTTACATTGTAGGGTTAAGGGGACAGGGACAGTGCATCCATACCACTTCAATGATATGCCTATAGTGACTTTTTAGGTTTATGTTGCATTCATGAAAAATTCCCATTTTTGTTCTGCAAAGTTAGAACCTAATTCCCCAAATTCTCCTTTAATTGAACATATTACCCACATGGAGGGTTATGTATAAAGAGCAATGCAGGCACAATCAGTAGGATCATTCCATAGGTTTCCATGGTGACTGCTTGAGGTTTAGGATATTGCACAGAATTGCCTTTTATACTTAACCCCTAGAATTGGGTCACCATTATGTCAGTCACCGATACAAATGCTGTGGCAACAGCAGTTCTAACTCAGCTATAAGACAGACTAGAAAACAAGGAAAAAGCACTCACAAAACAAATACAGATGCTCCAATGCACAGTTTGATGATATGGTATCAATGACAACGTTTGTGAACATTGTCTATGAAGAAAGTGGCATCCTGCACACATGCACACACTGATCGTCAGGGCTACAGTGTGTGAGCTCTGTAGGACTGAATTATCTGTTTGAAAGCCTATCATCGCTCCATTATCTGACAACAGCAGCAATGGTGTAAATGAGGTGTGCTGAACAAATGCTTTTATAGTGAGTTGTGCTCAGCTGAGCCTTTGACTGTGCACAAATACTGCTGGACTATCTGCATTATCTACGGCCAGTGACATAACTACATGGGGCCAGTCCCAGTCTGGAATATGTTTAGGCTCCTTGCCAAAGGCATTAAGGCATTTTCTTGTGCTCTCTTGTTACCCCTATGAATCCAGGGACAAGCGATGAGGCTATATTCAGTGCAGGTAATCATACCCACATTAGGTTTGGCACATGGGAAATGTTCACACTCCCTCACATAGCATCATAAGGAATGATGTGCAGAGTTCCCAGGAGCATTAGGAGCCCTGAATTCTTCCCACTAGCTGATTTATATCAATATGTTTACAATAGGTGCCAATTAATGGGAGCATCTAATTTAACAAGAGAAAACGTGAAACCATGATGTTTTTTTTTCTGTTATAGTGAACCTAAAGCAAACTATTCCCTCTGCAACAGAGCTCGGTTTGTCCTGAAAAATGCCTCTGTATGCAGATTGCATGAGTATGATCTGTGACCTTAAAACAAAAGCACAATTTCTCACAGCACCATTAATTCTGCTTTGCAGGTATACAGCTCTACGAGTAGTAATCGAGCAGCTTTTACATGATATGGCCCGCAGCCCTGCCACCATGTAGCAATCAGGTCTTCTTGGATTCTCTGTATCAGTATTCCTGTGGGCTGCTGACATCATCCCTCTGTACTAAAACCAAAGGAGTTGACTGGGAAGGATCTGCATCTTTCTTAAATAGTACATAAAGCTTCACCTCTCTGCTTCCAGACCAAGAGGGTCCCGCATTGCTCTGCCAGGTGTCCACTAATACATTTCCAAAGTTACTGGAATGAGAAGCCCGTGGGACTCTAAGTATTACATAAGTGTTGCTATGGCCAGCTTTTACATTCCAACAGCATTCGCTTTTGAACCTAAACGGTTTGTAATATTACATTGGGTCCCCCATAAAACGCTCTTATTTGACCTAAACAACTGGACAATTCCATGAACTAACAAGAATAAAAAATTTAAGATAAAGGCAAACTAGTAAATTTAGAAGGAACAAGCACTTGAGAGAGGAACAAGAAAATCCACGTATGGGTCACTGGCGTGGTGACTTGACAATGACTTAGTTAGGCGTACAGAGCAGGGTTAGAAAAATCTTCAACTCCTTGGAACCAGAAACTTTTCCATATTTGCTACTACACCTTAAATGTTGCAAGTTTGTTCCCACTTCGCTATAATTCACTGGAAAAGGATGTGAGTTTTGAAAAATGGTTCAATTTGGCTATTTTGATCTAAAATTTGCAATTTCCAAGACAATGCTTTTAGTGAATAGATCCTAAATAATTCTTATGGCACCTTAGCTATTTCAAATGTGTTTGCTTCCCCCTCCATAGTCACCTGTTAATTAGTAGACAAGGACTATGCGTAATGACAGTCATATATCACAGAATTAGAATTGATGGGATTGCTGGGTGCGATGCATAAAGACAGGTACGTTTTTGCTGTAGGATAAAGAGCTTATTTTTTTGCTAAGCACAACTTTTAATGAAAAGTTTGAGATATTGTTTGTAATAAAGAAAAAGAGAAAAGCACAAAGGTAAGTTGTTTTTTTAGAAATGTGTAAGTAAGTTTTGGCAGAAGTGAAGCCAAATAGTATTATAATGTATAGAAAAATAACAAGGGTCTTTGAGAAATATTAACCGTTTCATTGGCAGACGCTGTGAGAATTGCAAAACATTGTTCAATGGAATAAAAAGAAAAATATCCCCATTCCAGGCAGAGGATTTCAAATATAATTTATTTACTACTTAATAAAGCCAAGGGTTGAAAAAATCATGAGCCTTTTGCATCAAGGCTACATCTAACATACGTGTATACCTGTAACATATAGTGATAATAACATTGCTACACTTTGTGCTGAGCTTCCAAATTTTGTTTAATACTCTTGTTTCTTTTTCTATCTAAAAAATGTGAATTTTGCAGCAGGAAATGTTTACTTCATGGCACATCTGCCCATTTCTGAATAAAGCACTTTGCAGAAACATCTTCTGAGTGTTATAATTTTTTAACCCACATTCAATATTTTGATGGCTGGAATTTATCTTTCCGTCTTACAAATGTAGTCTGACGTTGGAAATGAATACACAAAGCTAATGAAGATTTCAGTAAACAAAAATGTTCCTCATGATATCTATAAAAGCATTGAACTAAATTAAAAGGACACTATAGCCACCAGAACAACTACAGCTTAATGTAGTTGTTCTAATGAGTATAATCATTACTTCAGGCATTTTAATGCAAACATTGCCTTTCTGAGAAAAGGCAGTGTTTAGATTGCTCCCTAGGGACACCTCCAAGTGGGTACTCTGCAGATGGTCACTGGAGATGCTTCCTGGAGCAAAGCTGCACTATAGGCAGCACTAACGTTCAGCGTCTTGATTCAATGCATCTCTACGAGGAGGTGCTGATTGGCTAAAACAGTGTTTGGCCCCGCCCCATTCCACCTCCTTATCAATCTGCCATTCCGATGATGTCACCAAGAAGGCGGATCAGGGGCGGGATCAGCGTCAGTGGATCTGTGCGGCACTGGAAATAAGGTGTTTTTTTTTTTTTTTTTTCTAAGGAGGTTTGAGGGGTGGGGGGGCAAGTTACCTAGTACATAAATGTGGGGTTAAACACTATAGGGTCAGGAATACATGTTTGTGTTCCAGACCTTATAGTGTTTCTTTAAGGATCTTTTGTGTGTCTAGTTCTGTCAGAGAATAACAATGGAGATACCCTAAAGGTGACGATGTCAGTTTGGGTTCTATCTCAGTTTGCTTGTTTCTATTGAGTTTGCTTTTTAACTTGAATCTCTTATCCTTAAAATAAATTAATTAGTTTGGTTATATGACATAAAATTACTGGAGTTTTGCCACTAACCTATATCCTCCTGGGAACTGGAGAAAAAATTGTCTTCCAATTTCTGTCCATTTTTGATGAAAAGGAAGTGGAAGTTCCCGGCATCCCAGCCAATCACATGGCATATCACTGGAAAACCTGGGATGTCCTCTTTACAATTCAGCAGGGATTGATAGAGTAGCTCAAAAGAATAAAAGGAGTTGAATGTGAATGAAATGTCCAGTACAGAGGTCACAAGTTAATGGGCTGGGTCTAAAGGAGGATATTACTACCTACTTCTCACGTACATCTCCCCCCACTACTTCTTACATCTTTCAATGTAACTCTTTCTTTGTCTATGCCTCCCTGACTCCAACCCCACTCTGCCATGACTCCTGATCACACTACCCACTCCACTCCTGCTGTATTAAAGGAATACTCCATCAATTTAAATTTTTCATATTTTTTTAAACAATTTAGTATATATATCCGCAAAGAAAGCAAGCATATGGTTTTTATTTCTGCATGTTTTCTTTGGGAGTATGTAACCAGCTTGCAAAAGCTTCATATCTGCTGTCTGCAGCCTTTTAAAGCAATCCCCTGTTTCTCTGATACAGACGTAAAGTATGTGCAGCAGAAAACTTCAATGCTAGAACTGTAAGAAAGTGCACACCGATCCCGGCTTTCCTATGCTGCTCAATGAGCTGTAATGTGGCGCTAACAAAAGCTGAAGAAAACCTCCATGGCTATCTCATTGATGGGCAGGCATGTGTTTAATTATAAAATGCCGATTTGATTAGTCTGCACTTTTATAAACTGTCACAAATATGACAGGCTCCAGACACATGAAACCCTGTCCTATCATTGTCTACAGAATCTTCTAGACAGAAAACTGACACAGCCATGTCTCACAAGTGTTCTGTATCTGGTGGAGGTGGGGATGGTACTGGTGAGATTCTGGCATGATACATTTTAACCCTGCACATACCCTATGTTAAACTCTCTCTTCCATCTCTCTACCTATTTACTTGTATTTACAAGCCCCACAGCTCTCATCTCCTCTCTCTCACTAATTACAAAAGCTAAATCCTTTTTGTTCAGGCAGAAGCTTGCTCCAGGGATGCAACCGAGGACAGAGAAAGAGGTGTACTAAATGAGTGTAGTGAATGTAGCAGAAAGGAGGAATTCCACTCTGCCACATAATGAGAGGAGGATATTGGAGTGTTAGAGAGAAAGGAATAGCAAAAACATATGCACAGTGCACAGGATAAGCTTTAAGTTAAATGTTACAGCCAGTCCACAAATGCTTTGTTTCCCTGCATCCCTCCTTATTCCCATTTGCTACCGGTATTCCCTTTGCACAACATTTTAGAGCAAGAACATGTGATGAGGGTGGAATAATATGAGTCTATAGTATGGGCCATGAACTGCAGCTCCATTATCCTATGAGTATATGAAATTTTAGCAAGTCAATTTAATTGCTTAAAAATCTAAAACACAAAATTAATATTAAGGGATAGATGCTCGTGAAACCAGTATGTTAAAATAAGGTGTTATTCTTCACAATGAACCAAGGTTACTAAGCAACCGATTTCCTAATATTTTATTAGGTGTCAGGGATGGCAAAGAAGAAAAGGTGCTATATGCATTTCTCTTGGAAGCATTATGTGCAATATAAAATCTACTTATACATTTATCAGTCTGAAGTGAAGTAGTTATCATTCTTTGCTGGGATTTGTCCTGCACTGCCCAAGGAAGACATTATGAACATATAGATGGGAAGTCCTGCTAGCCACTGGACCATGCCTAGTAGTATTGATGGATATAGACATATGTCTCTCTACATGAAATGGAGGGTTGGCATTCACCCATCTGACTTGAAACTGGTTGTGTCTCTTAGAGAGTACGTTTATAGTTCAGTTGCCTATAGGGGTTTGCATCTGTTATTGGTTCAGCAGAGTTCTGCAAGAAACCTCAAAATAAACAGTTAAAAAATACTGCTAAACGCTAAGTCAAACTCAGAATACTTTGTCAAACATGCATGGGTTATCCACAGAACAAAGAGGATGGGGACATGACATGAACTATATGTAAAGATACCTCCTGTTTTTATTTAAAGAAAAGCAAATTAGACACATTCAATGGCTGTTATGCAGAGCCAGAATTTATTTTGTAGATGCTTTGTGCTGCATCAATATTCTGAACAGGCACTGACCAATCGCACCTGGTGCCCCAGTCAGTCCATCCATCATGCTGCCCATGTTACTGATCTCTCTGCCAATGCAAAATGGCAAAGTTAGTTTATGTTGCAGTAAATACAATGTTTTAAGGAATATTAAACTAATAAAGGAAGAAGATCCAGACCACCACATACACCTAAACTGTGCACTTTTAATGGCCTGGTTGCGTCATTTAGAATGAATCTGAAAGGAACATGTCACCTTCTTGAATTACAAAACATATAATTCAGCACCAAGGCCAGTGTTCAAAGAAGCCAGGATGAGTGCTCAGGATAGCTCCCACAGTGAGATGTAGCTCTCTAACAGCATTGCTAATAGGTCGACTAACAAACAAGTAATTGCAACAAGACAAGCTGGACATACGGGTACAGACGGTGCTGAGGGGACAGCTCAAATAAGCTTATGTTCTAAGCAAAGTGCACACAAAAGCTAAATGTATTGTTTATAGAAAACATTTTATAGAAGACATAGCTTGAGCAGAGGAAGTAAACCAGATTAATGAAGATGAAGACAGGAGGAAGGATTTTAATAGCTTAATTGTGATAATTTAAAGAAGTGTGATTTTGGTAAAAAAAAAATTAAGGAATGTAGACTGGAGGTGTTAATTTTATTTATGGCTTATCAATGCAGAGTTATTTGTGTGACTATATGCATGTGACTCTGCTTCTGGCTACATGACTGTGTGTGTGTGTGTGAGTGCAGCTGTGTGCTTGTGACTGTGTGTGTATGAGACTATGTGACTGTATGCCGGTGACGGTGTGAGTATGACTATGTGTGACTGTATGTAACCTAGTACATGTGTGTCACTGTGCCTTTGTGTGTATGTTTGTGATTTTGTATGGCAGTGTGTGAATGTGTGCCTGTGTGTGTTACTGTGTATGTGTTTGTATGTATGTGACTCTGAGAGTATGCATATTTGTATGTGTGTGCATTTATAATTGCATGTATGCATGTATTCATGCATGTCACTTGTATGTATGTGCAGGAACAAAAAAGGTAAGAGGGTTTTTAAACAAGCAAGAGTCAGGAAAAATGTAAAATGTCAGTTTTAATATGATACATGAAATGCATGATTAACACAAATATCTTCTAGAGATCAGTTTGAAGTAGGGCAAGTTTTACATCAATTATCTCCACCAAGTAACTGGTTATAAATAGAAATCGTCATTAGAGACTTATGTCAGTTGTTCAGATGTGCTACCCTTTGGGAATGTCTAATATGGATCAAACTTAAATGCATAAAAAATATACTAATCACCCACTAAAAGTAATAGAAACTAAAGGAATAAAGCACTTAACTGCTTTAGTCTATAAGAAATAACCACTGCATTGGGATATCCTACATGCAATGGCTCCATTATTCTTGTAGTTATTCTTGTGGTCCATTAATATTGCATATCACCTTGTATCAAGGAGATAAACTAGAAATATCAGCAAAAACATTTTGTGACGAGAGCAATCTCGCCACATTGCATTGGAGAAGCCTGGCTGCCCGCCTGCTGCCTTTGGACTATGGACCAGACTTTATGTAAATGTGTTAACCCAGATAGCTATGCCATGGAGCCCATTCGTGTAGTTAAAGACTTCGGCTCCATGGCAA